TAAAAAATTATGCAATATTCATGCTACTTATCAAACAACATATTCATTAATCATTTTTTAATCGTAAGATTATAATACAAAATATTTATAAATCTAACAGTAAAAATAATCATTAGTATATATATATGTATCACAGTTTATAGAAATAAAAAATATTTGTTCTTTACAATTAAAACTATGTCAAAATATCTCTAAAAGTAACAAAGTAAAGATATAACAATTTATATAACTAATATATTATTGCCTCAAGAAAGAAAAAAAACACATGTAATTGCTTTCAGTATCATACCAGTACCTAGTTACTATATCTTATAAGTGGAATTCTCATGATTGTTAAAACTTGTTTCTTCCATAATTCTAGAATTAGATACTTCATGAATTTATAAATGACATATTCAACCATTTATTAAATTAATTAGTTCTGCAAGAATGTTTCGATTCTAGCAAAAATAAAAGTGCATTCAATTATTGCATTCTTTGTTCATCCTGTTGCATTTTGGCATCAATAAAAACAATGCATTGGTTTTTTTAAGACATTCATAAATTTTATTTTAATTATATATTTTTTTCAGTTTTTAAGCACGTTTACATGAAAAGTCTTAAATTAATGTTGCTTTTTCTGAAATACACATTATACGAAAAAAAATCTCCATGAAAAAGGACCTTTAAATGATACATAACAATAAAACAAAATTGAAGTCAATGGCACTAAAATCAGATATAACTAATAATGACATCTTTGATCAATCCTTAACTTTGTTCTTCATGAGAATGGACCAAAAACATCTCTACATGAAAAGATTTACATCAAGGAAAAAAGAAAATGTCATAATCAATTTAATCAAGACTAGATAATCACTTCTACCTTGGTTCCTAAAAATTTGCTTGTCCTTTTAGTGTCTTGAATTTACTTCGAAGTGATGACCACTATTTTAACAAAGATCCTTTGGAGGGTTAGGGTTTATTCTAAACAATTTGCAACTTAATCATATGTGTGTCAATATAATTAGTACCAAGGTACAAATTCATTTTTTTTTTACTCATCAAAATTTGGAATTTGTCCTGTTTTCTACAATATTAACATTTTCTAATACTCATATCTGAGAAAGAACAACACATAAAACATACTTTTGTTCTTCAATTTTGATAATACGATATTTTTTATTGACCCAATTACCAATTACTATAAGGCATCTTTGAAAAATTGATACCTTAATGCACAATTCAATAGTTGCAGCAATAAATTATAAATATTCATAAACATCAGAAAAGTCTCCGAAACACTTAAAACAACCTATTCTCATGGAAGCTAAGAAAACAAGTGAAACTGCGAGCTACTGCTCACTGATGATACCCCCGCCCAAATATTTCGGTAAACGGGAAGTTGTTGAGTGATGAATCTGAAAACGCATCACATGGTATAGCTGACTTATATAAACCCTGAAACCAAATTTCAGAAATCCTTGTATTGTAGTTCTTAAGAAAAATGTGATAAAAATTTTCAACTTAGCTATCATGTGTAAAATGATACAAGTGTTCGGTAAACAGGAAGTTGTTGAGTGATGAATCTGAAAACGCATCACACGGTATAGCTGACTTTTATAAACCCTGAAACCAAATTTCAGAAATCCTGGTATTGTAGTTCCTGAGAAAGATGCAATGAAATATATTCATGGGATGGAAGGACGGACTGACGGATGGATGGACTGACGGATGGACAGACAGAAGTAAAACAGTATGCCCCCACTTTTTTAAAGTGGGGTATAATTAATAAATAATTTTTTTTGGGACTAATGAGAATGGGACAAGAATACCTTAGAAATTGTAAGTTATTGAAAAACTTGTGATTCAAGATCTGTTTCTTTAAATTCTCATAAATCAATCAAACCAAGCCTTATATATCTACTTCTTCCTTTAAAAATATTGTAAAACTAAACAAAAATATGCTTATAATGATGAAGCATAAAATCAACTATAAATCACAATAAATTAATTAAACTTCATAGTTAAATATTTTATTTTTAATATCCTTTGATATCTAGATAATTAAAATATTTACATATTGAAATTTTGATGTTGTTGAAATATTACAACATATTTACATGAGAAAGGGTTGTACTCTTTCATTCTCCTAAAAAAAAAAACAACAAAAAAAACATTTAACCATAAAGGGATGTTTCCAAGCTTTCCTGAAATTTTAAAATAAAAATTGTCACAGAGACAGGAATCTGCGAGACTTTTCTTGTCTTCATGTCACATGTTTCTTTTTGGTTCTAAATCTTAATGCAATCTTCCCAAATTTAAACAAATTAATAACAATTGTCCATGAGGCAAGCAGCTGACAGATTATTATTGCCTTCATGTCTGAGTCTGACACATATTTCTTTTTGTAAATGGGGCCTCGGTGGCCGAGTGGTCTAAGTAGTTACTACTGTAATCACTAGCCAGTCAACACTGAGGTTGTGAGTTTGAACCCCGCTCGTGCGGGTGCACTCGACTGCAATCTTAATTGACTAGGATTGTCAGTTTTCCTATCGAAGGTCGGTGGTTTTCTCCAGGCACTCCGGCTTCCTCCACCAATAAAAACTGGCCGCCACGAAATAGCCCAAAAGCGGTGCTAAAAAGTGGAGTTAAAACACCAAAAATCAAAATCAAATCAAATCTTTTTGTAAATGATGCTAACTTTAATGGCAAGACTCAGCATATAAAATCATGTAGTTATTTCAATTCACGTGAAGATATAGGCCAAAAGCTGATGTAATTTCTTTTACAAATTATTAAATATTGATAATCTATCAAGTGCCTCTCGCCAAATCAGATACTTTTTGATGAACGTAAAAATTCAAATCTCACTGAAGCATTATTATCTATTTATAATTAGGTGTACTATTCTAGAAGCTAGAATGCTAATGTAAAGTATAATGAAATTCCTGAAACTCTTAGACAGTCCTTTAGGCACAACTCGTATGAAAAACAAAAAAATATTTATAGCATATTTACAAGTATTATCAAAAGTCTTTAGGAATGATATATTTGTCTTTAAAAAATTCATCAAAAAATAAATTAAATCTGAATGGAATGAATTATCCAATAAATAACTTGCAGCTACAATACTGACTATGTACAAAATCTTGCCAAATAAAGCAAGCGTTTACGACAGTAAACCTCGGTTTAAGTACATCACTCTTTTAAATCACTGATACGTTTGTTACAATCAATTTTTAAAAATATTTTCTAAACTTTCAAGTAACACAGATTATTTTAATTTCTGTTTCAGAGGAATGCTTGAAAAGCATTGACAAAATTCCCATTACAAATGCAATACTGATTTAAAGAGTTATCCACTTTAACCTCAGTTTACTCCCTTTACTATAATTAATTGCACAAGAAAAGCTGTTCATGGAATGTTATAGAAATTTTTAATTTCAAGTATATCTCAGAGAAAGTGTTTGCAGTAAAGCTGTCACATGAATATTAAGTAATAAATTTCATAATTCAGAACTATTTACATATATATATATACTATATACATATTCATATATATATATATATTCATTATATTCTTTTGGAAACCACTAAATCATTTTAATGAAAACCTCAGAAAGATGATGCACAATGCAATTAGCATTACAGATTCTATGAAAGTTCATTAAATTTGGACACTGGTTTAGAAGTTGTGTATTTTAAGTATGGATGGGCAAACAAATGGACATAATTAGACACTGAATACTTCTGCGTTAGTAAGACATGGTATTACATATATAACATATGGTTCATAGCATGACCTCAATAAAAAGGCACAATTTGACATGAATATGTATAATAGTGTTAATCCAAAACATATATACATAAAAGGTTTTTATTTTTAACATATTTCAACATTTAAAAACATTTTTTCAGTTATTATCTGCAGCAATGTATACATACTGAATAACAAGTAAATCAGTAACCTCTATGGTTATTGGTAAGGAAATATATCCAATAATTATAGTGTATGGTGTAATCAATTTAACAGGTGCATTCAAAGACTTTACAATCAATAAAAAATATAACATAAGAGAAATTTGTGATAGTCAATTTGGGATTCTTTTAATAGAAGAACAAAAAACCGACACTGAGAATTAAAACATCGTGTCAATGATATCAAAATTTACAAGTTTTTATGGGATGGAATCCTACAAAATATTACTATAATTAGAGAAAAATTTAACCGATCGTAAAGCTATTTGTTAGTCAAATTAATCTGCACATGGTCAACAATTGAGAATTGAAACAAAAACAGAAAAGTAAGATATATCAGTAATATGGACAAGATTTTAAAAAAATCATTTGTAAAAGGCGAGAGTGAACACGCTTAAATATATTGCCTGCTGTACTGATTATTACTGAATAGTCTTGTTATTTACATCACAAAAATATAATACTTATAAACCACTTAAATGAGGTCAAGGTCATTTGAATCCTTTTTGCCTGATATGTCCATCTGACAATAGGTTAAATATTTAGTAGACCTACTACTAACAATAACTGAGAAACTGGCCTAATCACGAAATTGAGCACTTTTGATGAAACCCAAATCTAGGTCAAGGTCAACTGAACCCTGTCAGACAGACATGCACAGCTCTCAATAATGTATTCCAAACACATAATTGTTGAGTTATTACTTAAAGTAACTGTGAAACTAAAAATTAGTTAATGAACCATCAAAAAAAGATCAAGGTCTGGTTAACTCTCTCAGGCACATGTCTACACCTCACAATGGTTATGTGTACCAATATCTATTACTCATGATAACTGAAAATATTGTGTGATGAGGTCAAGGACTGGGACCTGTACCAGACAGAAAAATTACGACAATAATTTGACTGTTTACACAGTGTGCATAAATTTGCTCTTCTACCTTCTAAAATAGGAAGTTTGTACAAATAGTTCAGCCACCTAATAAGCATCCCTGCATGCAAGAAAATAATAGGAAAAATGTCAAGGTCAAAGAAAGTAGAACAACAGACAGTATTTATTGAGAATAATCACAATTCATAGAACTCGATATAGATTATACCATTATAACCAGAATCAACTCTAATCTTTATGAAAAATAATACTAAAATAAACCTTTTCTAAGCAAAGTTTGTATCTATTATCAAAACTTATAAAGCCATATTATTAAGGCAGCTTCCAAATTCTTAAAAGCCGACGAAGATTTTTTTCTCCAATCAATGTAACCATCCCCTCCCATTACAATCATAACAGAGTTACATCCCCTTTTTGATAATGTATCAAGGGCACGTAACTTAGGCTCATCTGTTGACACTCTGACTGAAGCATGTTTGGTGTTCCTGTTTTTGGAACTTCCTAGTTTAAAAGAGTTGAAGGAAGGTTTCCTCATAGATGATCTGGTTTGTTTTTCAATGACTGGTTTGACCGGGGCTGTCATGGATTCGTTTCTCATCAAGTCTCTGTAAACTTCGTTGACATCGTCTTCACCAGTACCAATAGAAGGATCTAAATTTTTCATTATATTTTGTCTTGAGGCTAATTTTGTTGGGTATTTTAATGTTTTCCCTCTATGGCAACTCACTTCAGCAGTTTTGGAAGGCAACAGTTTTGTTATATCATCTGCTGACCTTGACAATCTGTTTTCCTTGTTAACGCCTCCTAAAGTCTTGTCCCCTGTTTTTGAACTTTTTGGAGGTTTTTCAGGTGGAGTTGGTTTATGAGTCATTTTTATATAGTCTCCTTCCAATGAGATTTGTGATACTGTTTTTTCCAGATCACTACTGGAATGGCGCTTTGATTCATATTGCTTCAAATCAGCCAATGGTTTCTTGTCAGATTCCACATTAACTTGTCTTCGTAAATCAACAGTACTGTAATCCAGTCCTCTGGCTTTATGCCACAAATTTACAGTCCCACAATAAATTGGAATTAAAAATTGCACCGGTCCATTATGGCCATGATATGACACGAAAGGCCTGCCACTTATTATTGGGACTCCATCTTTAAGGCGTGGCAGCGGGAATGTCAAAAGTATACCTGAACTAGTTCCAACCCAGAGAAACCCTTTACTGACCATCAAACTGGTGATTTCACAACTGCTTTCCTGTCCTAATGACTCGTCAGCATTTGCTGAAAATAAAAGATCAGGCTTAATAAGTGTAACACTGGTGTTTTGAACAATCTCAAACTTTTTGATCTAGATTTGAGTTTTCACTTTTTTAAATGTTTTGTTTCATTAAAAATAACAACTGTCAAAAGATAAAAATTTATAATACAAATTCTTAGGAATTTAATTTATGACAATTTTCTTCAAATGTACTTATATAATTTGGTCAAAACATATTTGATCTGCTTCAAATGTTTTTTTTTTGTTTTTAACTACAGATTAATGTTTGGGATAAAACAGTAAAAGCAGCATTCTCACTACAAGGTACACAATTTCATGTACACATTTATTTTTGAGTTACCTACCCTTAATTACAACAGACTAAAAAATAAACAGACTGATTTGACATATAACAGGCTGTTGTTTTTTTCACTTGAATTGTTTTACAATTTTGCCACATTAGACCCTTTTACAGCTGACTTTATGGTATGGGTTTTGTACATTGTTGAAGGCTGTCTGTGACCTTTAGCTGTTTAAATCCACATCATTTGGACTTTGGTGGATAGATGGCAATCATATCTCCTTATTCAATATCAGACTGTAAAGATTTATAAACTTGCAAATGTCTGACAGAGCCAAGTATGAACAAGACATTCTCAGTCAATAAGGGGCATCTGTGGCCAAGTGCTTTAAGTAGTTCATCTACTGTGTCACTAGCCTGTCAACACTGAGGTTGTGAGTTTGAACCTGGCACATAGCAAGTGTGTTTGACTCCAATTTTAATTGACTAGGAATGCTAGCTGAAGGTCAATGGCTCTCTTTGGGCACTCTGGCTTCCTCCACCAATGAAAACTAGCCATATTGAGATACCCAATAGTGCTGAAAGTGGCATTAAACACCAATTAGCAATTAATCAATCTAAGTCAATTATCACACCTCATCATGCATGTTATGCCCCCAAACCCAAATTACCTTGGACTAGAATGTTAACAGACTGAGCCACATTGATTTCCTGCATTTGTTTCTTTGTCTCTATATGATAAAGATGTATGGAAGAGCTGCCTTTGTGACTTATCCATAGTCCCACTCCAGATCTCACCATGTGGGCAATGTCACCACCATCTTTACAAGTCATTTCTATCTGTTCCTAAAAATATACAAAAATTGTCATTACTAATAATCATACATGTATGTCATGGCTACAAATATGGTCTCAATAATAGTTCATTTGAGTGCAATGAATCTTTAAAGGGGCATTAGCTATGAATTAGACAAATTCTAAATACGATTTTTTTGTTTCAAACATTTATAAAAGTGGATTATAGAAATAATGTTTCGCTATTAGCAGTCAATTTGGTTAATTTTTGGTCAAAATAAGCTAAAATATATCCCTGATGTATTATTGGCTTGCAAGTCAATAATTCAACTCATTTGAATCTGTATTCATGTAACCTTTTAATCTGACCTTAGGAGGAGAGGTGTGCATGAGTTCATCATGTGGTTCGTGTGGTTCATTCATTAATAAGAAAAGAATGTCAACATTGAAAAGTGAAACAAGGTTGCCAACAGGAATAACCATTTCCTTGACTGATCCAGCTGACAAAAATCATTCGTATTAAGGTAAAATGAAAATTACATATATTCTTAACCTATAAAATGAAATTAAACAGACCTAGAAAAATCTGATTGCATGTGCTCTCTATCTATTTATATTTATATTTATGTTTATATAAGATTATATGACTGTCGGCAGTTTACGGAGGTGATCTTGATGGATAATTGGATGGTGTCTGGTCTAGAAAAAAATGTACGAAATTCTGATAAAATTATTGAGTCTATGTATTGTTAATTGTTTCTTTTGGACTTTTTGTAATTTTGATATACGTTTCGGTAACATGAGAATTTTGGTCAAATCAGTGAACATGAATTCGACAGCTAATGCCCCTTTAAAAATAAATTTCTAAAATGCAAACTTCTGTTTAACATAATTCATTTTGCACAAGTTCTTTTGTACACTAGGTCTTATACTTAAAATTGTTTTACAAGGTAAACTAGAGGATTTTAAACTGTCTCGCTCACCTTGATCAATGTTCATCCTCAACACTCTAAAACATTTAATAGACAAAAAAAATAATTTATGATAAAAATATCTTTTTTGTTGATCTTTTTTCTGTTTGCAGTTTCTCTCTAGTTGAAGATTTTAGTAAAACTGAACAGACAAGGGACGATAGACACCAAGTGATGAGAAAAGCTATGTTGGCCCTTTTTGGCCAGTTGAGCTAATGAAAAGTAAATGAGTAAGTGAATTGAACTAATAAATACCAGTGTTAAATTAACCTACCAAATAATAAGATTCTTCCACAGGTACAAATGTATAATGTATATATTCAACCTACCAAATAACAAGATTCTTCAACAGGTATAATGTATATGTGCTGTCCACATGCAACCCAGACCTCCTCATCTAGTGTAATGATACTATTTATAGGACTGGAGGCCAACTGTACGACATTGGGGGATTCAAAATTCCATACACCTTCTGAAAAATAAAGCAATACATTAGCAAAGTTTAATGAAAACTATTTGTTAAATACCATACTACACAACAAGTAGAATGGTTCATTTCTATTATATAAACACACCTCAAGAATCAATAAAAATATTAAATTTTAATGATAAGAAAACACAATTCATTGTTTCTATACTCTCTTTTTATTTTTACTTAACCTGAAATATAATTCTTGTTTTCATTATTTCATTTTGTTCAGTTTAGTCACTCTTTTTCTTTTTTTTTTTGAAAACAACATAATTCTTGATTTGATGCAGTTTGTAACAATTGAGATCATTCTTTTCACACTGACTATGAGTGATTGTGTATTGATAAAAAATTTGCAAGAATATTCTAGAACGGTTAGAGTGACGCTACCAAAATTCAAACTTGATCTGTATTTTGTGGTAATAAGCATTGTGTATAAGTTTCATAATATTTGGATGGGACAAACTTAAGTTAAAGAACAGAAACTAAAAATTTTGCAATTTTTCCATTTATAAAGGGGCATAACTGTAGAACAGTTAGAGTGACGCTACCAAAATTCAAACTTGATCTGTTTTTTGTGGTTATAAGCATTGTATATAAGTTTCATAACATTTGGTTGAGGCAAACTCAAGTTAGAGAACGAAAACCAATTTTGGGACGTACAGACGGACAAGGGTAAAACTTAATGTCCCCTCCGCTACGGCGGGGGCATAAAAAATCATTTCTGTTTGGTTTTACATACTGCTTTTCAAGGCTTTTCAACTTTGTAATTGAGTCAGCCTTCCAACTGTCATATTTGTGTGCCATTGGTGAGTCTTATGTAAATGAAATAGACCAATCTCGAGTTGTATTTATGAAAGAGTTACACTCCTTGACCTGAAGTTAATGGGTGTAAATTACGTCATTGAACAATCGATTCTTAGTACTTCTTACTATGACTTAATGGTACAACAACCCTATAAGATGAGTAACACGGTAAAGCTGACTTATATAAACCCTGAAACCAAATTTCAGAAATCCTTGTCAAGTAGTTCCTGAGAAAAATGTGACGAAAATTTTCAACTTGGCTATCATGTGTAAAATAATACAAGTGTTCGGTAAACAGGAAGTTGTTGAGTGATAAATGTGAAAATGCATCACACGGTGTAACTTACTTATATAAACCCTGAAACCAAATTTCAGAAATCCTTGTCGAGTAGTTCCTGAGAAAAATGCGACGAAAATATTCATGGGACGGACGGACTGACGGATGATGGATGGATGGACTGATGGAAGGACAGACAGAGGTAAAACAGTATGCCCCCACTTTTTTAAAGCGGGGGTATAATAAACCTTAAAACTTGAAAAACAATACAGGTAGTTATAACCATTAAGGAAACAGAGACAACTATAAATGTGTTCTAACTTATCAACACCAAATCAAAGTACTGAAGTACTGAACATCGGATGACCACAAGTTCTTGAGGATGGTCAAAAGCACTTGTCTCAGAAAAAAACAACATATCTCTTTACCTAAAACTGAGGTTAATGTACAGAGATATATTTTTTTTCTGAGACAAGTTCGTGCGTGGATGATGACTTCAACTTCACCGTAATAACTATTATATTGTAGAGATACAAATCAGTATACACTGAGTTGTTGTTTATATTATATTAAAATAACAGTTACATATATATATGATTTGAATCCATTTGTATATCATTCTATTCTACTATTCTAAAAATAGTGCAATGCAAGTGCATGGTGGACACTTTTCTGTAAAAATTCGATTTTTCTCTAAGATTGGATACGAGTAGGCATTCATATTTTCCCGCAAAATCAATTACAGAGTTACCGGTCCTTGACGGTATTTTCACAAAACGTTCTTTGAGATATTCTTCCGCATGCTTTAACACAATTTTTCGGTACGTGTGCATTGATATCATCAATGATTTTTTACTTATATATATATATCTAACTACAAAACATTTTCATATTATTAATTTATGTTGTAAACAAAAATATTTTTATCAGTATTCATTGAAGAGATGTATTTATATCAAACGATAAGGAATGTTATTTTGCACTCGTTTATGTGCGCGTATTTATCATGTTTATAGATCGGTTACAAACCCAAAACTAATTTACATAATGGAAATCTAGGCGATAGCAATACATCGGGATGACCTCAAGGTCATCGCGATGTAAAAACGTGACAGTAAAAAAATCTGAAATGGAATAAATGAAAAACAATTTTATTGTCATTAAATCATGCAACTATTTGAGTGCTAATGAAAACAATTCAAAGAAAAAGTTACCAAAAATTTGTAAGGGTTCCACGGAACCCAGTGTATCGCCTACTTTTTCTGTTAATCGCAGGCTCAACAAAAATGAGGAAGTAAATCAATAAAAATATTCCTCTTGATACTATCTTTTGATTGTAAGAAGCTTCTGTCCAAGTTTGGTAAAATTCCAGGATAGTTTATGAATCTAATAAATGTTTAAAAACTTTAACTGCAGACTGAATGTAATGTTAACTGGAAGAAAACAAAATTTCCTTCTAGATACTAGCTTTTGATCATAAACAAGCTTCTGTCCAAGTTTGGTACAAATCCAAAAAGTATAAGAAAGTTATTAAAATTTTAGAAACTTTAACCACAGAGTGAATATGTTGTTTTCTGGCAGAAAATCTAATTCCATTTAAAAGTAAAATACGGAAAAAATGGATTTATTTTTTTTACAAAATTTCCTTCTAGATACTAGCTTTTGATCATAAACAAGCTTCTGTCCAAGTTTGGTACAAATCCAAAATAGTATAAGAAAGTTATTAAAATTTTAAAAACTTTAACCACAGAGTGAATGTGTTGCAGAAAATCTGAGTCCATTTAAGGGATCATAGATTTATTCTTACGAGGAAGCTCCGAGCATGCTCGGAGGATGCTCCGAGCATGCTCGGAGGATGCTCCGAGCTTTTTCAGTAGGCTCTTCTCTGCAGTTTATGTGAAAATAATTATCATGATCCATTAAGATGTCAATCAAATCTACACCACTTCTATAATAAGGAAAGTTGAGCATTATAGAGGAAGCTCAATTAACACCTGTGTAAACAACTGATCTATTCAAATACATTTTGCAAGAAATTATACAAATTATAGAAAAGATAAGAAATTCTTCAACAGTACTGTGTAATGCTTGGAAAGAAATCTCAAGTCTCCACAAAAAAGTGAAAGTCATTTAACAAAAAATATACAATTAAAAATTACCATTGTTTTAATAATTAGGGGCATTACTTAAACAAGTAATTTTCAAAATTACTTATACAAGTTATATTGAAAACAAGGTTGTTTCAAATATGTTGTATATATCATGAATAAGTAACTTCTGTTAATATTATTTCTATAGGTGTCCATTCATACAGGTTTTACAAGCTTTAACAAATTTTCACATCTGGTTATTTTCCCCATGCAGTATAAAACTATTTAAATCCTCCTGAAACACTAATTGCCTTTCTGATGCCACACTTCTTGGTCATAGATTGGTCTCTTGGGGCTATTAAAATAATATTTTCCTTCAAAATCTTAGAGATGAACAAATATAAATGGATGGAACCTTGTGATTTAATTAAGACTTGAAGTTATTTATAATTTGAAATATTTATCAAAAACAATTACATATGTTCCTTAAATAATTGTAAGTATACTTAGTTTTTTGAAGATGTATAAAATAATTTATAAAAGTAATATTTTTGTCATTATTTTTAAAGTAATCTCTCTATACTCATCTCAATTTGGATAAATACTTAATTTTACTTAATGAAATGATATAAAAATTCTTAAAAACTACATTTAGTCCACTTTTGACATTTAAAATAACAATTGAGATTATATCAAATAATTTAAAAAAAAACAAAAAATACCTATTAATATAAGTAACTAAAAAAAATAACTCGTTTAGTATCGCCCCCTGACTGTTGTTTGTGTCTTGATAACTTTTATGTAGCATATTATATAATATAAACTATATTTAAATCATATCATCTAATTATAAAATTTGAGAATTTTTTTTATTATAAAAAAAGAAATGATTATTTTAAAAATATAATAATTGTATATTTTTTGTTAAATGACTTTCACTTTTTGTGGAGACTTGAGATTTCTTTCCAAGCATTACACAGTACTGGTAAAGAATTTCTAATCTATTCTATAGTTTTGTAAAATTTCAGGCAAAATGTATTTGAATAGATTAGATGTTTACACAGGTGTTAATTGAGCTTCCTCTATAATGCTCTACTTTCCTTATTATAGAAGTGGTGTAGATTTGATTGACATCTTAATGGATCATGATAATTATTTTCACATAAACTGCAGAGAAGAGCCTACTGAAAAAGCTCTGAGCATCCTCCGAGCATGCTCTGAGCTTCCTCGTAAGAATAAATCTATGATCCCTAAAAGTAAAATAAGGAAAAAATGGATTTATTTTTTTACAAAATTTACTTCTAGATACTATCTTATGATCACAAACAAGCTTCTGTCCAAGTTTGGTACAAACCCAGGATAGTTTAAGAAAGTTATTAAAATTTTAAAAACTTTAACCACAGAGTGAATGTAATATTTACCGGCAGAAAAACTAAGTCCATTTATAAGTAAAATACGGAAAAAATGGAATTTTATTTTTACAAAATTTACTTCTGGATACTATCTTATGATCATAAACAAGCTTCTGTCCAAGTTTGGTAGAAATCCAGGATAGTTTAAGAAAGTTATTAAAATTTCAAAAACTTTAACCACAGAGTGAATATTTGTGGACGCCGCCGCCGACACCGACAGAATGTAGGATCGCTATGTCTCGCTTTTTCGACTAAAGTCGAAGGCTCAACAAAAAGGCAGTATGTGAAAAATTTCTTTCCACAGCAGTTACTGAAATATCTCTCTCTAGACAAATGAACCTCAAGTCTACAGTGTACCAATGGGTTTTTCTTTCTTAGAGTTTTTTCACCAGACAGCAATACATTTTAATAGAAAACCATTACAAACACACAAACTATCTACTTGCTAACCCTTTTCCCATTTCAGAAGTCATTTTACTCACTATATTAAATATCATCTTATCCTACAATCAATATTCAAATTAGTGTAAACTTATTAGTCTTCATTGTAATGGCTTCAGTAAAATTGATAATTTTTCATCTAAAATGTTCTTTATTATGATAAGGCCACCCTTAAGAAATTCTTTGTTTGATGTTGCCTACCCATGCCTCCTAGGGTTGTATAGGGAGGTAGGGATTTTTTTTTGGGCCTACAGCATAAGTCAAGAAATCAACGTTAAAGCAGGAAAAAATCTTTAAAAAATTTGAGACGATTTGTGTCATAAACTTTTTCGGGTATGCTGCTTTTTACTAATTTAAGAGGGTAGGTAGGCAACATCAAACAATTTAAATTTTATTTTTGGCCTAAGAAGTTATCAAATTAAATTTTGAAATGCAAAAACTGGTGTTCAATAATAACAGACAATGAGAAAAGTTATCTACTGAATTCCACCATTTACAGCTTTTAGAATAGAATTTTGAAGAAAACCTGACAATTAACATTAAAAAAGAGCTTTAAAGGTGTAAACTAATTTGGACTATTCTTGACCAAGACATACCTTCATTTCTGTCATAGATGACCAGTACCCCTTCATCTGTTCCTATAAATACTCTCTCTATTGTATAATGTATCTGTTGACCTATCCCATGGCAGTGAAATTTTTTCTTTGGAACACGATTCAACTTTGTCTGATCTCGTAATCCTTGTTCATTGAACACACTAAATATTAACACTCTGAAACAAAATAAAAATATTATTACCTGTAAATAGTCTTATGATTTTGAAGAAACATTGTCAAAAAGATTTCAGGTTTATTTTAATATTAACAAATGCCTAGTTGGTTGGGAATGAAAATTTATGAAAAATTCAACTTGATACAGGAAGGACAAGCAGAATAAAGGATGGAAAGAATACTGTAGAGGAAAAGACAAGAAAATATGCCTAAAATCAGTAGAGAAGGGTTTAACTCATCTGACTGATACAAAGCACATAAAAACATTAAAACACAAAAGATACGAAGTACAGATCTGAGAGTATTCACAGTTACTGAAAGCTAGTTCAAAGCCAATAAAAACCAACTAATAAAAATTCATGTGTGTAAGACTTAAATATCAATCAGTAGACATCCAATATTCCATGGACTTATTGTAAAGGGGTCATTAACAGTCAGAGAAAAACCTGACCTTGTGTACATTTTTAGCATCATTTTGAAACCTCAAACTCTCATGTTAATTACAATATTTTGTACTTTTCCTTTTACCAAGTTAAGTGTGGTATCAGCTTTTCCATTCCGTGTCCTTCACTGAATAATCATATTTGAGACTTGAGCCCATAGTGCATAGAACTTACTCTTTTTTAACCGTAGACATCCAGACAGTATCTTCCATGAAAGCATCACCACTCTCCTTGACAGCATAACCGGGAACTATTTCAACTGCTACAACTTCCTCACTGCATGCTTGAAAGGACTCCACCAATGATGGCCTTGTGTTCTGTACTGAGACAAGTGCAACCTGTGTCCTCAAGTCTGTTGTCATAACAACCCATAAATGTTGTATGCCAATATCTGAAGACCCATGTGATGCTAGATACACAGGAATAGCACACTTCATCTAAAATGAGTTGAATTAAACATTAAACTGTATTGGTAAAAATATTTACTTATAACTTATATTTAATGGGTTAAAAGATAAAAAATTGATGAAAAACATTTCTAAGATCCATATGTTTTATAGTGATTTTGTTACTGACATCTATGACATCTATTTCAATTGTTGTTGGGGCCTTGCTGGCTGAGTGGTCTAAGTAGATCATACACAGTATCACCTGCCTATCAACACCGAGGTCATGAGTTTGAACCCTGCCTGTGATCTTCTAAAATTGACTAGGATTGTCAGTATTCCTGCTGAAGGTTGTTGGTTCTCTCTGGGTACTCCAGCTTCCTCCATCAATAAACTGGCCACCATGATATTGGCAAGAGTAATGAAAGTGGAGTTAAACACCAACAATCAATCGGTTGTCTTTGGATAGTCTTCATATCATTACCTTACAGTTCATTACAGGTAGATCCTACTCATTTAAAAAGTGGTCCTTATTCATATTAAGGATGTTCTCTCCTCTTGTTTTAGAATTTTGTCAGATATTCCGAATTCTCTGGTTTTATCCATGTATTGCCATTAAATTTTTTTGCCCACTAAGCCCTAATTTTCTTTTCATAATCTTATAACATATAGTTTCTAAAGCCATATTTGAAATTGTTAAAAAATTCCTTGTTAATGTTATTTTTTCATTGATTTTAAAAGAAAAAAGCTGCCAATGTTAACTGTATGAAAAATCTAGAGAGAATCATTTCCTGCCAAATTTTCAATGGCTTATATCTCAAAAACAAGCACACCGACCCATCATTTTTTTCTTCTTTTTCAGTTCCATTATTTATATACTAACAATTTATAACAGTCTTCTGAAAAGCTTGTTATTTTGAAACAGAGTAGCAAACATCCTTAAATGATATTTAGTAATATTTGAAACTGTAAATATCTAAGAGTGGGGGATTTCATATTGTGTTTTTTGCTTTTTGCTTTTTTTTTGTGACAACATATAGCAGAATAAAAAAATAAAACAAGAATCTATTTTATAGATTGCTTAAGTTTTGGCCTTACCTTAGTAAAATATCTCGGCATATCTACATGCTTTAGTTTTGACCTTACCTCAGTAAAATATCTGGGCATATCTACATGCTTTAGTTTTGGCCTTACCTTAGTAAAATATCTGGGCATATCTACATGCTTTAGTTTTGGCCTTACCTTAGTAAAATATATGGGCATATCTACATGCTTTAGTTTTGGCCTTACCTTAGTAAAATATCTCGGCATATCTACATGCTTTAGTTTTGGCCTTACATTAGTAAAATATCTCGGCATATCTACATGCTTTAGTTTTGGCCTTACCTTAGTAAAATATCTCGGCATATCTACATGCTTTAGTTTTGGCCTTACCTTAGTAAAATATCTCGGCATATCTACATGTTTTAGTTTTGGCCTTACCTTAGTAAAATATCTCGGCATATCTACATCCTTTAGTTTTGGCCTAACCTTAGTCAAATATCTCGGCATATCTACATGCTTTAGTTTTGGCCTTACCTTAGTAAAATATCTTGGCATATCTACATGCTTTAGTTTTGGCCTTACCTTAGTAAAATATCTGGGCATATCTACATGCTTAAGTTTTGACCTTACCTTAGTAAAATATCTGGGCATATCTACATGCTTTAGTTTTGGCCTTACCTTAGTAAAATATCTGGGCATATCTACATGCTTTAGTTTTGGCCTTACCTTAGTAAAATATCTCGGCATATCTACAGGTAAATGTTTCATAAACAAAGCTGGTTGCATAGTAACATCTTCTCCAGTGCTTAACGATGTCCATGATGGATTGTTGATAGGATCTGTCAATCAAACATTTGTTAATTAGATATCAATTCAAGAAATTATAACTTGATTTAATATGGTAAATCATGTCAACATTGTCAGTTTTTGTCAGTCAATAAGAACTTATGCTAATTTAGGAGACCAAAATCTTTAGTTTTTCTAATAAAATGTTAATTATTTATTATCTTTTTTTCCTCTCTCCAATCAAATTTTACTCGATATGGGAATAGGTCTAATGACATGTTACAGACTGTACTTTATGTGGACATGGAAGAAACTGTAATTCAGTGGTAGCTGTATGTTGCTGTATATCATATTTGTTTTTTGTTTACTGTTTTGTACATAAATCAGGCATTAGTTTTCATTTTTGAATTGTTTAACATTTATCATTTCTGGAGCTTTTGTAGCCTTCTATGAGGTATGAGTTTTGCTCATTGTTGAAGTCTATACAGTGACCTAAAGTTGCTCCTTTCTACGTCATTTGGTCTCAGGTGGATACTTTCTTATTGGCAACCATACCAGATAATTTTTTAATTGATGTGGACAGATTACCTCTATCACATTTTATTTAATAAATTCCAATTATAAATGATTGTGTTTGGTATTTGGTTCGATTTGCTGTTGTATATTGTGTAAATTCTATTATATTTTTATCTTCTTTTTTTTTCAAAATGTTCCTAAGTTTACTTATCAATAATTTTCAGTTGTATTATATTTTGAAACTTTCAAAGAAATGTCAAATGTAATAATATCATCAGATAGTATGACACTTCAAATGTTGTTTAATTACTATAAAAATAATTTACCAAGAGCAAGCTTTGACAGTAAGAAATCTGTAGACCATTCTTGTTTAAGTTCTGGAGAAACGGTCTGGAATGTATATCTTTCTTTCCTGTAATATATATGTAAACAATATTGTACATATGTGTGTCATTTATCATTATGTACTGTGGATTCGATATTATTCCTGGGATACCAATGTTTGTGGATTATTCCTGGGATACCAATGTTTGTGAATTATTCCTGGGATACAAATGTTCGTGGATTATTCCTGGGATACCAATGTTCGTGGATTATTCCTGGAATACCAATGTTTATGGATTATTCCTGGGATACCAATGTGTATGGATTATTCCTGGAATACCAATGTTTTTGGATTATTCCTGGGATACCAATGTTTGTGGATTATTCCTGGGATACCAATGTTTGTGGATTATTCCTGGGATACCGATGTTTGTGGATTATTCCTGGGATACCAATGTTTGTGGATTATTCCTGGGATACCAATGTTTGTGGATTATTCCTGGGATACCAATGTTTGTGGATTTCATGGGTATTGGTAAACCACAAATTTAAATGTTGAAAGAATTATAAATTTGCTATAGGTTTGTAAGCAAACTTTTGCCAAACCAAAAAATCTAATTTCCATGAAAATACAAATGTTCCTCAATACATAATAAATTGCTTTGCCGATCACAGCTTGATACGACCGCAGATGTCCAACCCTGAACAGTTGGGGCAAAAATGGACGCAATATTTGCGATTGATACAGGTCTGAATTTGGATTGTAATTAAATATTTGACACATAAAAGGTTTCTGACACAGAAAAAATGTAGTCAAAGAACTTAGAATTGGTTATATGATTTGAATTTATATTCAATTTTTTGCTTTTGTGCAATACACTTTGCTGTTCCTAAATGGTTTGATTCATAACCCCCCAAAGCAAATCCTAACCATCCCTTTGTGGTATGGAAACTTGTGGTATAATTTTAGAGAGATCCAGTCACCGTTTCACAAGTTATTGTCTGGAAACTAGAAAAATGCTTATTTTTGGCCCCTTTTTGGCCCCTAATTCCTTAACTGTTGGTACCATAACCCCCAAAATCAATCCCAACCTTCCTTTTGTGGTATTGAACCTTATGGTAAAATTTCATAGAGATCCATTCACTTAAACTTAAGTTATTGTGCGAAAACCAATGTGTCTTTTAGATTATCTTTATTGTTCATTAACCATTACTTTATACATAATTTAAAAGCAGTGTAAGGGAGATAATTTCAATGATGTATTTGATTTATCTCCCTTACACTGCTTTAAATTATGTTTTGTACTAAAGTATTTGTCCATTAACCAGGACAACCTTGTTTTTCCCCCCTTTTTGCCCCTAATTCCTAAACGGTTTGAGCCATAACCCCCCAAAGCAAATCCTAACCATCCCTTTGTGGTATGGAAACTTGTAGTATAATTTCAGAGAGATCCATACACCGTTCCACAGTTATTGTCTGGAAACTAGAAAAATGCTTATTTTTGGCCCCTTTTTGGCCCCTAATTCCTTAACTGTTGGTACCATAACCCCCAAAATCAATCCCAACCTTCCTTTTGTGGTATTGAACCTTATGGTAAAATTTCATAGAGATCCATTCACTTAAACTTAAGTTATTGTGCGAAAACCAATGTGTCTTCGGACGACGACAACGCAAACGTCATACCAATATACGACCGCAAAAATATTTGCGGTCGTATCAAAATAGGTACCCATGAAAATAAATGAATTCACAGTATTTTCATAGTATATAACAAAACTTAAGTCACATCTACAGACACAAATAAAATATAGAACAAATATTTTGAATTTAACTTTCACTTTCATGTTAACTTTCATACCCACTTTCACTTGCTATTTGTACTTTCACTTTCTATTCCAAAGTAAAAATTGCACTCTAAGCCTGGTTGAAGATGAATTACATTTTAGAGCTGTTCCATAAAAACATACATGGTACCCAGGGAAGGCATTTTCCTAATGGGGTAACCACCTATAGAGTCAACTCTAGAATTTCAATTACATTTCCACTGTACTTGACACTTACCCATAGTAAAGATTTCAAAGTGCCTTCTCTGGGTCCCATGTATGTTTTTATAGAACAGTCCTTATCATTAGTTGCCCAGAATCAAATTAAAATGGGGAGGAATTACTCAGAGGTAAACAATACATGTTGTATTTATCAGACCTTGCATATGAGGCAAAATTGGACATACAGACAGACAGACAGGGCTAAAACAGTATAACACCCCCCCTCTTTCAGTAGCTGTATAAAGTATTAAACAGTGCTGCTTTACATGCAATACCCTTCAGGTGATCAGAATAAATTTTTGAAGTAAACCAAATGGTAACCTTAAGAAAATCAGTCGTCTGTTTGAATGTCCAGCACTTTGTTATTGAAGGTCCACCTGTGGAAATAAAAGTTAAGGGACCTCGGACCTGCATAATTTTTAATCCCAGTAACACATGACATATTTTCTTTATTTTTGCGCGTACTTCTAGTTCTTCCATCATGTTATAAACCTACTTATTATTCGTAGCGTTGGTATGTTCAACAACAACAGTACAGCTATTGATAATCTGTAACTGTTGATTTTTAACTTGTATCTTTCGCTGTAGATCACTGATAACTTCACAACACGTTTCTTCAGATAGATTGTCATGGCCACATTTCAGAGTAGACACTAAGGATGATATCTGGCCTAATATATGGTAATCATAAACCATATCATCTAGGTCAGTCTGAAGGTTCAGGGGATCAGATTCTTGGTAAATGGACTCTGAAAAAAACCCAACAAATGTGTAAAAAAAGTAAATGTTGTAAAATATTTAATTTTTTTTTTGTAAACAAGTTGGACTGTGAGCTATTGCTCACTAATGATACACCCATTATAAGTATTCAGTAAACAGGAAGTTGATGAGCTATGGTTGTGAAAACGCATCATACAGTGTATATAGTATGCTCAAATATAGCTTGATACCAATTTTCATTAAGTTTTGAATCATAGCTACTCAGTAATGAGAAAAATGCAAACAAAATTTTATACATGGTTATTATGTGTAAGAATATATAAATATTTGGTTGATATAATTTTATTAGTGGTGAAAACACATCTAATGGTATAGCATGCTCATATAAAGCTTGGTACAAAATTTGAGGAAGCTCTGATTCGTAGTTCCTGAGAAAACTCCACCTGTCTTCAGAGAAGGCGTATAATAATATACAATCAAATTCCCTTGAAGAACTTGATCTTATTCATAAAGTATTATATATATTTTTTTTTATCATATAATTTTCTTTAAAAAAAACCCACTTAAATCAAGCACAATTATTTCTTTTCTAACCTTTTCTTGTATGTATACTTAGTAAGCCACCATTGGACCTGACAGAACAAGAAAGTTCAGGAGATATCGCATTGTCCTTTAGTTCCAGTTCTGATATAGGTATAGCCCATTTCGATCTTATCCTATCCACTGGTCTTCCATCCTGTTCCCTTTAAGAAATAACAAGTAATCCTAATTAATAATGACCTTTATACTTGCTTTCAAAATAAAGAAAAAATTAAATAAACCTTCTGTTGATATAACTTTCAGGTTTTGGGCAAAACAAATTTTGTCAATCATCTCGACTATATGCAATATACATGTATTACCTAAAAGAAAAACACAAAGCTGTGTGAAGCCCAAAAAATTATAAAATTACTTTTGTTATCTTTGTATTTCCTCTGCAAACATCAGAAATAACTCAAGTACATACAATCAGAATAGTATACTATTAATTCAGAAATTATTGTGAAGTTTTTAATAATGCGAATATTGCGACTGGGTAAGTATTGCAATAATAATAACTCGCATTTTGATATCTTACGCATATATATGTATGCAGATTTTCCTGAAATCGCAATAATTAATCTCGCATTTTTGTCCATTCTTCAAAAGAAATCACAATAATTAATCTCGCATTTTTGTCCATTCTTCAAAAATCGCAATAATAAATGAACGCATTAATTTCTGAATTTTTCAGTATTCAGCTGTTGATATAATCAAATGTTGTAGACTGTATATTGACCTATAAATTAGATGTTGGTTTTTTTTACGGAGTTCATTGGGTCTCATTGATATTACATTATACTGGAATTGCCTTTGAGGATGGGTATGCCACAACAATTAAAGGTATCTTATTAATGGTTAACATCACAAAGTTAATTAGGTAAGAAAGAACTAGATACTATAATAGCATTACTTTATTACTTTATGAAAATAAAGAGCTGCGCCATGAGTGCATGATACGCCTGTCGCTTTTTCAAAGAATAAAGCTCCATAACTCCTCAATGTCATATCAGAAAATTATAAAAAAACTAAAGGGAGGTTATTTTAATAGATATAAACTAGTCACCAAAGTTTCACGAAAACTGCTCAAAGAACTTTTGAGTTTTTGTCCGAAAACTGGAAAATCTCATTTTTTAATGAATAAAACCCCATAACTCAGAAACGTAAAATCTAAAGATTATAAAAATCGAAAGGCAGCTCACATCAACAGATATAAACAATTCACCATAGTTTCATGAAAACTGCTCAAAGCATTTTTGAGTTATTGTCCGAAAACTGGAAAATCTACCTTTTTTTATGACCCATAACTCGGAAAAGTAATATCCAAAATTTATAACAAGAGTGCACACGCTGAAATGTCTCGCCTTCTTTACTAACCATTGATTTTATGTTGATAGTCCTAAATATAAAGCTTTACTACAAGTAACACATAAACTTAACATGATCCAAGAAAATGAGGTCAAGGTCAGATAAACCAAACAAGAAATACATGTACACCTTAAAATCATTCAAAAAACCAAACATAGTTGACCTATTGCTTATAGTTTCTAAGAAACAGTCTTAACCAAGAAAACTTAAGATTGACCAAATTGCAATGAACCATGAAAATGAGGTCAAGGTCAGATGAACCATGCCAGACAGACATGTACACCTTACAATCAATTTATGCATTAAACATAGTTGACCTATTGCTTACAGTATCTAAGAAAAAAATTTAACCATGAAAACTTAACATTGACCAATGAACCACGAAAATGAGGTCAAGGTCAGATGATACCTGCCAGACAGACATATACACCTTACAATCCTTCCATACAACAAATATAGTTGATCTATTGCTTATAGTTGAAGAAAAACAGACCAAAACACAAAAACTTAACACTGAGAAATGAACCGTGAAAATGAGGTCAAGGTCAAATAAATCCTGCAAGACTGACATGTACATCATAAAATATTTCCATACACCAAATATAGTTGACCTATTGCATATAGTAATAGAAAAAAATACCAAAACTCAAAAACTTAACTTTGACCACTGAACCATGAAAATGAGGTCAAGGTCAGAAGACACCTGCGAGCTGGACATGTACACCTTACAGTCCTTCCATACACCGAATATACTAGACCTATTGCTTATAGTATCTGAGATATGGACTTGACCACCAAAACTTAACCTTGTTCATATCCTATTACTTATAAGAGAGAATTTAACATTACAAAAAATCTTGACTTTTTTTTCAAGTAGTCACTGAACCATGAAAATGAGGTCAAGGACATTGGACATGGGACTGACGGAAACTTCGTAACATGAGGCATCCATATACAAAGTATGAAGCATCCAGATCTTCCACCTTCTAAAATATAAAGCTTTTAAGAAGTTAGCTAACGCCGCCGCCGCCGGATCACTATCCCTATGTCGAGCTTTCTGCAACAAAAGTCGCAGCAACTTTCGGTCTATTGTTAAATTCTTACAATAAAACATCAATAACTGTTTTTAACTTTCATGCAATTTCACGAAACTTGGACAGAAACTTCATCATAATCAACCAAGAGCAGCATTCACAGCAATATTTCAGAAATATTTTTTTATTTTTCTGTATTTTACTGATTATCTTATTTTTTTCAGTTAACATTTAAATACAGTCTGAGATTTAATTTTTGGACATCAATAACTTTGCTTTCATGGAATTTTATAAAATTCAAACAGAAGCTTCTTTGTAATCAAGAAATAGTTTAAGTAAAATTTTTATTTTTTTCTTGTATAAATGGATAGTGTTTTAAGATCAAGAGTTAACATATAAATACTGTGTAATGTTTGTTGAAAACATCCACAACCTATCTTAAACCAGGATACTACATTTGTATTACAGAAACTTTGTCATAATCAAGAGTAAAATTTTGATTTATTTACCATTTTACCACATTTTCCTAACAAATGGAATTCAAGTCAACATTAAGGTACAATTTGAGATAAAAAAATTTACAACTTAAAAAACTTTGTTAAACCTTCACCAAGTTTTACAAAACTAAGACAGAAGACTCTTTATAATCATGAGATGGGTGCCATCTCTGAGCCAAAATTTAGATTTCTTTCTAATTCTATTTTGTGAATTCAACTGATACCTTTTTGAAAACAATTACACTAACAGCAGCAGTCACAGGATTCTGCAGAACCCTTTATGATTTTTTTTATTAAAGGTTCAAATCTGATAGTTGCAAAACCAACAAACCTCTGTGTTACAGTGGTACAGATAAGATAAGTATCTGTCAGGAATAATCTTCTGACCTTTGTTCTATTATTCGCAGTTTCCTATAAATAAAATTAATACATGAACTTTTCTATATTTACAAATAGACAGATAAAATAGATAAAGGAAACTCTAGATCATATATATATATATTGAAGCAATACCTTTTCCAGGAGGCAAATATGTTTTTCTCATTTTTCTTTCTTTCTTGCTTAACTTGCCTCTTCATAGACTATAAAGTCCAGAACCAGAATGTTGAAGGAATATTAGAACACTTAATATTAATATGCAATACCTATAGTAAATGGTGTTTGTAGGTGGTTTGTCAGTCATCAAAAAGTTTATATACACAACCATGCAGCTTAAAAGTGATCTCCTTTATTTTCTATCAAAAATTGAATTATGCTTAGCTTGTTAGAATCATCCCAACAGCAGGATTACTGTATGATTCCTTCATTAGTTTCATGCTTGTAAAATGTATCCTTCCAAGCAGATAGAAATTGTAATTTTTCAATGATTTCAAAAATCAAGCTTATGTTGGAATGTTATACCTTTTAGGGAACTTACTAGGTAGAACTATGTATTTCAAATAACACTACTTACACAGATCTGATCTAAGTCATCTTGTCTCAATAATCAAAGTCATTTTGGAATTTTATACCCTCTAGGGAACTTACTAGGTAGAACTATGTATTTCAAATCCTCTAGGAAACGTACTAGGTAGAACTTTGTATTTCAAATAACACTACTTACACAGATCTGATCTAAGTCATCTTGTCTCAATAATCTTAGTGTTTTGAGGTTCTTGATGTTCAGTTCTTTCATCACCTTCTTTGCCTGAAACTTCTGTTCTGCCAGACGTTTTGACTCATTTAATTTGTGAGCCACATTTTCAAGGTCGGTCAGTGCTGTCTGTAATGAAGACCTGTCATGGTGTTGATGTGGTGTATACTTCAGTAAATCCTAAAAAAAAATATATCAAAGTGAATAATAAGTAAATTTGAGGCAATATTAATTTACTGATGTTCAAATCTCATAAATCCTCTAAGACGACACAATCAAGGTAAAACAAGTGAAACTGTTAGCTACTGCTCACTGATGATACCCCAGCCCAAATACTTGACAGTAAACAGGAGGTTGTTGAGTGATGAATCTGAAAATGCATCACACAGTATAGCTAACTTATATAAACACTGAAACCAAATTTCAGAAATCCTTGTAAAGTAGTTCCTGAGAAAGATGGAACGAAAAATATTAATGGGACAGCCGGACAGATGGACGGATGGATGGACTGACAGACAGAGGTAAAACAGTATACCCCCACTTTTTAAAGCAGGGGTATAAAAAACAAAACCTAAGGAAAACGCATGAACTTCAAAAGTAGCAAGACCAAGTGCATTGACAGTATAAGTATCTTCTGCTATACATGCACCACTTGCCAATCCAATCCACTCAGGCAAACTGTCATAATCATGGATTAGGAAACAAATTGGTAAGTTTACAGATCAGACAACCAATCATAAACGTAACCATAATCAATAGTAATAAGCTTCTAAACAATGGCAGCCATGTTCCCAAAACTTTTTCATAATTATATAGCAATCTTATACATGTTAAATAGAGGGTGTTATTTCTCATTAAAAAATATTATATATATATATGAAAGCCTCAAATCTATGTCCAGCCTCAAATCTATGTCCTTCCCGCAAATCTATGTCCTTTTTAATATTGCGTCATAGACGTTCCAAATTTATGTCCTTTATTGTCTCAAATCTATGTCTTTTATTGTCTCAAATCTATGTCCTGTATTGTCTCAAATCTATGTCCTTTATTAACTCAAATCTATGGCCATTTTTGTCTCAAATCTATGTATCAAGAAAAGCAAACAATTTGAAAATGTTGTAGTTTTACAATAAAATATAAATCATATAATAATTACGTTCGCATGTAAAATGATTAAGCACACACATGGAGGACACATCCCAACTTAACATTGAATTTTGGGAAATAACTTAATAAAACAAGAATCCTATAAGGCCGTACTTATTAGACTGGCGTAAATTTGCGCATGGCGAAACAAACTGGAAAAAGATTTAAGAAAAGGACACAGATTTGATGCCGTATCTTTTTTAACCGACATAGATTTGCGAATCATGTCACGATTGAAAACAAATTTGAAAATAGGACACAGATTTGAGGCCGTATCTTTTTTAACAGACATAGATTAGCGATTGACGTCACGATTGGATACAGATTTGAGAAACGGACACAGATTTGAGGCCGTCATATATATCATATTTACATGTAATATGGTTATTGCTTTTTTCTTCATGTCTATTGGCCTATTGATAATTTCAATGTTGGTTTTTGATTTTTGGTTGACTCTGTAATACCTTTAATTTAATATACGCCCGTCGTCTTGTGTGTGAATTTTTATGCAATAAGCATAAATAGTTTCTGACATACGTTGGACATGCAAAAACCCCCTCTTTTTTTTACAAAAAACTCAATATCTCTAAAATAAAATTTTGAATCAAAACCAAAAAGTATAAAGATCTTTAGATTAATATAACTAAGAAGTGTGTAAAATTTTAAGCAATAATCATAAATCGTTTTTGAGATACGGCGCGACATGTGAAAAACTTTCCCCCTTTTTTTACAAAATACTCAATAACTCAAAAATAAAATTTTGAATCATCACCAAAAAGTATACAGATCTTAAGGTTAATATAACTAAGAAGTGTGTAAAGTTTAAAGCAATAATCATAAACTGTTTTTGAGATACGGCGCGACATGTAAAAAACCCCTCCCCCTTTTTTAACAAAATACTCAATATGTCTAAAATAAAATTTTGAATCATCACCAAAAAGTATACAGATCTTAAGATTAATATAACTAAGAAGTGTGTAAAGTTTTAAGCAATAATCATAAACTGTTTTGGAGATACGGCGCGACATGTGAAAAAAAACACACACCTGTTTTAGTTGCTAAGTCCCGTAACTCAAAAAGTTTTAATCTTATTTTCACCAAAAAGTATACAGATCGTTTGACCATCATAAGAAACAACTATGTTAAGTTTCATGAAATTTGGATAAGTCATTCTCAAGTTACGGTGCGACATGTTTACGCCGGACAGACAGACGGACAGACAGACAGACGGACGGACATTTGTATACCATAATACGTCCCGTCAAAAATTTGACAGGCGTATAAAAACCTGTTTTTGGGTTGCTGTCTCATTGGTTTTTACCCAACATCTCATTTTATTCAAATTGAAATTGATATTTCAGATTGGTGAAAAGGGAACATGTACTTTACTGAACATGTAGACTTCTATTTTTAACTACACCACCCACCCACCCCCCCCCCCCCCCCCCCCCCCCCACGTAATGTTTTCCAACGGGATATAACATTATCCTTCCAACAAGACAAGGTCAATAAAATTTCAAGAAGAAGTGGTACAACATTCCACCAAATCTTTTGCATAAGTTTGGTAAATTCCAGTGTGATCATTATTACTTCTATATATTTTGCTCAAGCTATAAGTATATGCTATGCATATGGTACAAACCTGCATCATAGTGATGAATTGTGGGAATCTTTGTACTGGTTTGACCAACAATCCAAATAGTGGAAGTCTGTCTGGACTCTTCATGGCTTTTTCCTACAAAACAGCATGAGAGTAAGACAATTTGATAAATAAATACATGCATAAATGTTTTCTATAAACTACACCGACTAAAAACAGCATCTACTCAAAGTATTTAAATGTTCAAACCTTCCAAACCAGATATACTGAATACAACAAAAATGACAGAAAAAAATAGCTACAGGGTGACATATATCACATTTCTATTGTAAAATGTACCAAGGGATGTTGCATACACTTAGATTCTGTATAAGTACACAATTTATACATATACACACTCAAATTTAGATCATGAAAAACGGATTGATAAAGACATACTTTTAATCCAATACTGGTTCTAGTAGATATAAACTGTTGAACATCTTTATTTTAGAATTGAAAAGGCATGTATTCTTACGATAAATACAATGTTATGTAATGTAATTATATATTCTTATGATAAATACAATGTTATGTAAGGTAATTATATATTCTTATGATAAATACAATGTTATGTAATGTAATTATATATTCTTATGATAAATACAATGTTATGTAATGTAATTATATATTCTTATGACAAATACAATGTTATGTAATGTAATTATATATTCTTAACAATTTCAAAATCATAAAGAAAGAATGAGGAGGCAGCATACCATTTATTACTTCAAACTAAGATGGTACGACTATTTCAACAACAAGCATTCTCAATACATAGTCCCTTACCAGTTAAAAATTCATTGTATAGGAACAAAATGCTAACTTGATCTATAACTTGTCATGGTGTAACTATATAACAAATATCAAGTCAATATCTTCAAGCATGATGAAAAAAAGTGTTGAAAACTGATTATTTGAGTGAATTTTCTAAGTCCAAGGACCATAACTCTGCTCAAAATCATCAGACCGGAACAAAATTCAAACTTGATCTGTAACTTGTCTTAATAAAAACAATACACCAAATATTAAATCAATATCTTCAAGCACGAAAAAAAAAGTGTGGAAAACTGATTTGCCAGACTGACGAATGGACAGACAGACAAGACAGACATCGTCGGTAGGGGACTAATAAACTAAATATCATTTGATTATATATCTATTCTGAAATGAAATTATAAGGACTTAACATTTAGCATTGAAAACAATGACCATAATTTTTTTTTAAATCATTTCAGAACTGGTCCCTTGTATAGAAACAGTTTAATCAAATTAGGTTGTTTTCAGTATATATATATTTTTTAAATGTGTTTGTTTAGTGAGATGAACGTTTGTTGTTATGTAGAAATTTATGTTGTATTGTGGACAAAATACTTGTGAATCAGATGTAAAAACCTTGTGCATTATTGTTATCTCCTAGCATATGTACTATATCTACCCAGCCATGTTAACATGAATGCTAATGTAATATGTGGGTGTGCAATAAGAAAGAGTATTTCAATGATTAATTTCAAATGTTATTCACTGCAAATTAAACTAGCAAAATATATGACAGTTTAAAAACAATTTTTGAAAACAGATTTTGAAAAGATTATAATACCGGTAAGCAAACTAAATTAATTTTTTTAAGAGTGACAGATAAAACTAGCTAATGATCAGATCCTGTCTGCCAGCAAATAGTTTGTGAATACTGTGAATTCATTATTATTTGTCAGATACTAATTTTCGTGGATTTTGTAGGTACAGGCAAAAGACAAATTTAAATGTTCAATGGAATACATTTTTTCTGTCGGCTTGTATATAGACAGTTGTAAAACCACAAAATTAAATATCCACGAAAAATACAATTTTTCTTTTATCCATGAAAAATTGGTACCAACGAAAATAAATTAATCCACAGTAGTAAGTTTATTACAAGTGAAAATACCTGCATATACTGGAAATATAAAAAAATAATAGCAAAATTCAATAAATACTTAGGACTTAAAAGGGGCATTAGCTACGAGATATATAAAAAAATAAAATATGATGTTTTTTTGTTCAATCATTAATGAAAGTGAAATAGTGAAATAATGATTCGCCTTTAGCAGCCAACATGGTTCAATTTTGTCAAAATAAACTAAGAAACATCGCTGATCAATTATTCACTTGCAAGTGAAAAATTTCGACCTCATTGAATCTGTATTCATGTGACCTTCAATTTAAACCCTTCGCTGAACATGGGATATGCATGTTTTCAGCTATTAAAAGGAAAAGAATGTCAACATTGAAAGTGAAACAAGACAAAAGTCGCAGGCTCGACAAAAATGATGCTAAACATACTTTTTAACCTATAATATGAAATCAAACAGACACGTGGTCTCTATCTATTAATATTTATGTTTATATCGGGTTATATGATTGTCAGCAGTCTTCGGAGGTCATCTCAATATTTAATTAGATGACGTCTAGACAAAAATACATACCAAATGTTGATACATATAATCGAGTCCATGCATTGTTAATTGTTTACTTTAAACTTTTTGTAATTTGGATATACGTTTTAGTATGTTATGAATCAAATATGAGAATTTGAGTCAAATTGTGAACATGAATTTGACAGCTAATGACCCGTTAATAGAAATAAAAGTAAGAAAATACGATTATTATTTTGAAATTTTTTACTTTGTTGAATCAGAGCCTTTCAAACATTTTCATATCCATCTTTTGTATATAAAATGTCTTGTGTTTCTGATGAATTTAATTAGCAAATCAGATATACTTATTTGAGCAAAAAATGTCAAACACTTCATGAACAATGTTCCAGCAGGTCAACTTCAAGTCGAAACACTATAACTGTTGAATATTTAATCTCGCATATTTTTGAATATTTTATATATAAGGACACTTTACTAACAAATACTGAAGCCTTGTCATCGGTAGGGAAGAGGTTCTGTTTCATATTAAAGTTTGGTTTTTATTAGTACTCAAAATATACATACACTGTTTTATAAAATATTCTGAAAATATTGACAAAATGCAAGGTTCATTCAAGAACATTATCTTAAATACAAGGGCTATACCAGAATAAAATGTACGGGGGGTAAAGATGTCAACTTTTAAAACTTCCAAAATTAAATTTGTTTTAAGAACAAATATTATAACACACATAAATATAGGCCTGGGAAGTCCCATTATATAACAAAGAATTATGATCGGGGTTGTTATGCATTAAAACCACTTAAGTTAAGATTTTTCTACATGTCCTATGATAAATTAGTACTACGATTGGATATCTTAACTTAAGTGGTTTTATGCATATCAGCCCAGGACTTTTACTCACATATGAGGTTGTACGGGAGGAGACCCAATACAAAACAAATTTTGTTATTCTACAATACAGAATCTCTCTTAAGTTGACTTAGCAATGGTGGCTGAATCTCTGTTGTAAAAATTATGGTGTCCCATTATTTCCAAGATAGCAGAATAATAATAAAATCATGGATATTTTGAATTTAAAAATCTGGTATCTTCTAGTAACTAAAATGTTCTTTTTTTAACTAACTAAACTTACAGTAAGAAAGTTTGCCAATGCAGGTTTGGTACTTTGTAAGGATTTTAGTTCTTCCATAACGCTAGAGAAGTTATTGACATAGCCACTGTATAGTTCTATCACCATCTCTCTGGAAAACTGCAATAACCAATAACGGTAAATTATTCTTTGTCATTTTCTCATATTGAAAAATCAAATGCATATACAGTTTAATTCTCTCTCAAGGGAGGTCACTCCTTTTATTAATTTAGACCTCTCTTATTGTACAGCCCAATGTTCTCTGGTGATAACAGAGACACTGACTTGATAGAGGAAACTTTTTATATTATCTAATAAAAGTATCACTTTAAAGCTACTCTTATAGAATCAGATCAAAGTTTGATTTCTTTTTGCATCATCAGCTTGATTACTTTACATTATAAGATGTGTCTAAATGAATTAAGGGTCAGACATCCTGGTAGAAATGGCAAATTTGCAATGGAAATATCATAACTGCTGAGCTAACTTTTTAAAACGAATAACTTATTCATATTTCAAGTTTCACTTACAAATCCAATGAAAGTATTTCCAATTTCTTCTTCCTTGTCCCAATTTTTGACCTTATCAGCTAACTCTATCTGGAACATTTTATGTATATCTAAGATTTGTTCAGCTTTGCATAGTATCACATCTACAACACTACCCTGTAACCCATATGTAGTCAGTAGAGGATCCTTGTATTCCTACAAAAACAACTGAAAACCATTATCTACGATTATGAAGGAGACTAGTCAGTACCTTTCAAATTAAAATTTGTGAGATATCATATCACATGTATCACTTAAGAGATCTAACGTCTTGGCTAATAGTTAAAATATCAAAATAAAAATCTTTTTTATTTATCAGAAAAACAACTATTTTACAATTTTATACATTCACTTTGTGGTGAATGTTATGATGGAAAAAATTAGTGTGTCTGGTGTACTTATTCAAAAATGGGGAAAAAATCAATCAGCTACTGGAAATTATACTTGCTTGTTTATATAGCTAAAATTATTTTTGAAAATATCAATTAAAGATAAGATTTCTAAATGCCTTATATCATGAATTTTACCATGGTATCTCTGTATCTGATTTAGTTGGGGGGAATTATCAAGATGAATTATGAAAAAAAGAATTATAAATTTATCATAGCAAACAGACTTTTTCCTACCTCAGAGAGTCTCCTTAGTGTATCTATGAAAGACTTTTCACTATCTACCAGAGACTGTATGGCATATCTTCTTTTTATCTACAATAATTAAAACATTGGATGTGTCTATATGAAACAAATGACCTACTTTGAATAAATCCATAAACAAAAGTTACATTTGCAAATCTTCAGAACAACAAATTCAAAATTAAGTGTAGGTCAGGGTGACCTAATTATTCCCAAACAGTGTTTGGCATCTTAATGAATTTAATAGTATAACATCATTGATATATATAAATCATGGTCTTCTCAATAATGAATTTAGTCAGTTGTCTAAGTTATGATGATGACCAAAAAACCAAATGATTTTGAACAAGTTTGTATTATATTTCAAAATTTGCAAAGGGTTCAGCAGAACAGTGTGTGTGTGGCCTGTGAGTGCTGCTGTCAGCATTAAATTGTTATTTCGACTGCCAAACAAGACTTACACTGGGTCTGGACCTGCATGGCTGCATACAGTTGATTGAGGTAACATGGATGCTAGAGCATAACTGATCATTCTATGAAACCAAAACAAATTTTGACACTAAATTTTCAAACTACATTGTACTGGCAAACCGGAAGTAGCTCCACAGTGGATATAAAAATTGCTAACTTGATTCAACTTAACATTATCAAGCTGCAGACTAAGTTTCCTACCCAAGGTCTTTAGGATGAATGGATGGAAGGACGAAAGGACAGTCAGAGTTAAGCCGTTACTAGAACTGCTTTTGCCTTTGGCTACAAAGGTAAAAAGTCCAGTTATCAGTAAAAAAAAAAAATATGATGAAGACAAATTTTGCTCAGGGTGCTATCTCTTGATTATGAAGAATCTTCTGCTAAACTTTCCTGAAATTCTATGATAGTGAATTTTCTAGATATTAATTCAAACTGCATATAAATTTTAACACCAAAAATCTAAGTACATTTATCAGATAAATCTGGAAAAGCAAACTAGATGCTCTAAAAAAACCTGTGTCACTCACCTAGGTCTCAATGTGCAGCTTTAAAAGTGGACACTCTCCAACATTGAAGACTAGAATAGAATTCATGACAAAAATCTCTTCTTTGTTGATCTTGTTAAGTTGAACCTTTTTTCTGTTTACAGTTCATCTCTTTTTTCTTATTTTTTGCCCAAAACCCCAAAAAGTACAAAAAAAAAACAAGAGTGCACACGCTGAAATGTCTCGCCTTCTTTACTAATCATTGATATTATGTTGATAGTCCTAAATATAAAGCTTTATTACAACTGTCACATAAACTTAACATTAACCAAGAAAACTAAACACTGACCAATGAACCATGAAAATGAGGTCAAGGTCAGATGAACCATGCCAGGCAGACATGTACAGTTAACAATTCTTCCATATAACAAATATAATTGACCTATTGCTTATAGTTTAAGAAAAACAGACCAAAACACAAAAACTTAACACTGAGCAATGAACCGTGAAAATGAGGTCAAGGTCATATAAAACCTGCGCGACTGACATATAGATCATAAAATATTTCCATACACCAAATATAGTTGACCTATTGCATATAGTATTAGAAAAAAAGACCAAAACTCAAAAACTTAACTTTGACCACTGAACCATGAAAACGAGGTCAAGGTCAGATGACACCTGCCAGCTAGACATGTACACCTTACAATCATTCCATACACCAAATATAGCAGACCTATTGCATACAGTATAAGAAAAACAGACCAAAACACAAAAACTTAACTATAACCACTGAACCATGAAAATGAGGTCAAGGTCAGATGACACCTGCCAGTTGGACATGTACACCTTACAGTCCTTCCATACACCAAATATACTAGACCTATTGCTTATAGTATCTGAGATATGGACTTGACCACCAAAACTTAACCTTGTTCACTGATCCATGAAATGAGGTCGAGGTCAAATGAAAACTGTCTGACGGGCATGAGGACCTTGCAAGGTACGCACATACCAAATATAGTTATCCTACTACTTATAATAAGAGAGAATTTAACATTACAAAAAATGTTAACTTTTTTTTCAAGTAGTCACTGAACCATGAAAATGAGGTCAAGGACATTGGACATGTGACTGACGGAAACTTCGTAACATGAGGCATCCATATACAAAGTATGAAGCATCCAGGTCTTCTACCTTCTAAAATATAAAGCTTTTAAGAAGTTAGCTAACGCCACCGCCACCGTAGCCGCCGCCGGATCACTATCCCTATGTCGAGCTTTCTGCGACAAAAGTCGCAGGCTCGACAAAAATCACCATTTAAGGGCAATCACTCCTATACAGTATACTAACAATTTCGGCAAAATTTGACTTATTTGTAGATCAAATAAAACATACCTGATGATTTTCCATCTTCTCTGGAGCAGGAGGGAGACAAGGAGGGGGATGCTTCTCTAGGTTGACCTTCACTGGCAGTATCTGACTAATTCTTCCACTGGAAGAAGCAGATTCTTCTTTCTTTTTTACTTTCTATCAATTAAATGAAACAAAGCAATTGTATAATTAAGTAATGAATTTACTATTTAGGTTTAACATCTTGGGCATTTTGTAGTACTCAGGTTTCTGTTTCAAAATATGAAATATCAAAGATTTTGCTGCAACTTAATTAAGAGTGAATATTGAGCCTACATCTCTGTTACAGTTAATTGTACAAAATTAAATAAAACACCATTAAATACTGTAAAATGGTATTGTGATTTCACAGACAAAGTATTTCGCGATGTTTTATTTTCAAATTTTTCTTGCTCCTCATAATAAAATTTCCATCAGGGAATATTCTCACAATTTTATCTTATTCGTAAAATTATCAAAAATAAACCCTCGGGGAAATTTCATACTTTAAATCATCAAATGCATGGATAAAAAACACCACAAGAGGTCAAGTATATAAAATACATTCTCTGAATTACAATGAATTATTTGTTCTAATACAGATTTATAACTGAAAAGTATCATGGGTATGCTGTGAGGAAACTGGGTACCAGGGTCAATTAGGAAATCTGATTTATAACTGAGAAGTATCATGGGTATGCTGTGAGGAAACTGGGTACCAGGGTCAATTAGGAAATCTGATTTATAACTGAGAAGTGGCATGGGTAAGCTGTGAGGAAACTGGGTACCAGGGTCAATTAGGAAATCTGATTTATAACTGAGAAGTGTCATGGGTAAGCTATGAGGAAACTGGGTACCAGGGTCAATTAGGAAATCTGATTTATAACTGAGAAGTGTCATGGATAAGCTGTGAGGAAACTGGGGACCAGGGTCAATTAGGAAATCTGATTTATAACTGAGAAGTGTCATGGGTCAGCTGTGAGGAAACTGGGTACCAGGGTCAATTAGGAAATCTGATTTATAAGTGAGAAGTGTCTTGGGTAAGCTGTGAGGAAACTGGGTACCAGAATCAATTAGGAAATGTGATTTATAACTGAGAAGTGTCATCATGGTAAGCTGTGAGGAAACTGGGTACCAGGGTCAATTAAGAAATGTGATTTATAACTTAGAAGTGTCATGGATTGGCAAGCTGTGAGGGTACTGAACTCACCATCCTTAGAGTCATCTCAGTATGATGAATAAGATTTTCTAAATGTTCCAGAAAATCATCCGGGGTATTTGAAAATGAACGCACCAATTCCCAATTTAACTGAATATTCTGAATCATAATGGAGTACATGTTAAACTGGTAGCACCATTCCAAAATCTTGACTTTGAAGGCAAATCAAGTTTTTTGTATATATATATAAGTGTATTATGCTTTTCAAATTTATTACTGCTAACATACTGTCAATTCTTTATTTCTTGTGGGGATGCTCGTGTCTGTTTCTTTTGTGGGTTGAGGTTGATTACAAATTTATATGTGTAAACAGGGTTCTCACTAAGGCAAGTCAATGAGTCCTGGACTCATGAAAATGCGTCTGGACTCATCAATTCAAAACTGGTGAGTCCAAAGATGCATTAAGATTGTAGAATGTTGTATCAACTGAGCACAAATATCATCATTTTATGACAAATGTTTAACAATAATCTAAAGTTGATGTCATTTCCTTGCTCTATTTTGTCAAGGGGACTGAAATAATAAATAATATGTCAATAAAATTTCATCTTTTCACTGCTGGACTCACCATGACCAAAAATGACGAGTCCCTGCACTCGCCTCCAAAATCCTTTGTGAGAACTCTGTGTTAAACCAAATAAAAATTTCCAACAGGCTTAATTATAAGCAAAATTTATCAATAAAACCAAAAATCAAGCATCGGCAAAAATGCAACTGTTCCATAATCCATGGAAATTGGTAAATTGAGCCAATATTTAAAATATACCTTTATTTCATTAAGATTAATATAAAAATTAGAAGATTGAGTATGATTGCCAGATTACCTGCCGATGATAGGTTTCAAAAGAGGGACGAAAGATACCAGAGGGACAGTCAAACTCATCAACTGAAGTAATTATGTGTATAATTTTCAAATATGGTCTTTTAGTTTCAATAAAATATAAAACAAGATTAGCTTTCTACGTCAATGTTAAGCTGAATTCCTGTAAAAGAAGGTTGTTTAGTAATGCCATTTATCTTTAATCCCTTTTAATGTTATGTTGATTTCTATTTACAGTATACATTGTATGTTAAAGATGAATATGAAATTGTCTAATTCCATTTTTATATCAAAATCAAAAATTGTTAATATCTTACCTCTGGTAGACAAAATCCAAAATTAAATATTACCTACTTCAATCAAGGAAATATTTAACTTTTTTTGTAGTAATTGAATATTTAAAATCACTGGCTTGCTGTAATCCAATATTTCAAGCTTTATCAAGTATGAACAAGAGGCTCCCAAGAGCATAAAACTCTCACCTGGGAAAAATTTGATTTTGATATTTTTTTTACTCTTATTGCAATCAAATATTTTGCTTATTTGTCTAGCTTATTTAGTGGCATTTTTTTAGATTTTTGTATTGATGATCATTTTTACTGTTTACAGTTTATACCTATATATTATCATTGACAAAATTATAGGAATTAGTAAAACAAAAATCCCCAACTAAGGGGAATAATTATTATAGATCTTTTATGCTATATATATTTTCAAAAGTTTGCTTCAGACATTATCTCTTAATCATAAAAAAGCTTCTGACAAAGTTTTATAAAATTCTATGAAGGTTTGACAAAGTAATTGTTGTGTAACAAACTTTAACCCCAGACTGTATCTACTTGTTAGCTGTAAAAAAAAAACTAGTCTGTTTATCAGTAAATACAGGGAAAATTTATTTTCAAAATTTTGCTCTGGATACTGTATTGTAGTCATTAACAAGCTTCTGTCCAAATCTCATAAAATTCTATGAAGGTTTGACAAAGTTATATTGATGACTACCGGGTAAAAAAACTTTAACCTCAGACTGAATCTGAATGTTAACTGTAAAAAAACTAAGTCCATTTATCAGTAAAATACGGAAAAATTAAAATAAATATTTTCAAAATTGTGCTCTGGATACTGTACAAATGCTGTATTTTGGTCATGAACAAGCTTCTGTCCAAATTTCCTGAAATTCATGAAGATCTAACAAAGTTATTGATGTCTAAAAAAGCTTTAACCACAGACAGAACCTAAATGTTGATGCCGCAGACAGAATCTAGGATCTCTATGCCTAGCTTTCACGATGTAAATGTTGCAGGTACGACAAAGAGGGCATTAAGGGGCAATAACTCCTATAAGGAGTCAGTTGAAAATTTCAGCCACTTAATTTATTTGTAGATCTTATTGTGCTTAACATCTTTGCCAAATACAATTTCTCTTTAGATATTATGGTTTATGCAGAAAGTGCAATTTTTCAAGAGCAATAACTTCTATAAGGGGCTTACTGATGATTTTGGCCGTGTTGAAAAAATTGTAGATCTTATTTTGCTGAACATATTTGCATTTAAAGTTTCTCTCTATTTAATATAGTTTCTGCAAAAATTGGTGAAAATCGTCTTTCAAGGGCAATTACTTCTGTAAGGGTACAATTGACAATTTCTCCAATGTAAACATATTTGCAGATTTTATTTTGCTGAACATTTTTCTTTTCACAGTTCTCTCTATCTATTATAGTTTCTGCAAAATACACAAACAAATGGGTAAAAAATGTCTTGAATGGGCAATAACTTTTACAAAAGGTAATATTGACAATTTTGTCCATGTTGATTTATTTGTAGAACTTATATTGCTGAATATTTCTACTGCTGAAAGATTTAATATATCTCTATAGTTTCAGCAAAATTTTTTAAAAAGGTTAAAAATATCAATAAAAGTTTTTTAACTCCTATACGGGGTCAATTGGCAATTTCTGCTAAATTACTTCTAATTCTGGTCAATTTTACTTTTCTCTCTATCTGTTATATTTTTCAGATAATAACCAAAAACCTCTAGATCCCAAAAGTTTCAAAAAAAATTCCTTCTACAAATACTTGTCAACAAATTTTGTATAAGGGCAAATGGCATCACAAAATAAGACATAAGTAACCCTGACAATGATATCATTTTCAAATCTTTTGTATTATATGAAAATTGAAACATTAGTGTAATAAATATTTCATCTATTGAAGTATATTTTTTTTTTATTCAACAGAGATGAAATCTGACAGCTGAATACCAGTTTTTATATAACCAGGCTAGATGGCATGTCAATTAATTCAAATTGGGGTACCAGATATCATATTATTTACAGGGGAGCTAACTCAGAGCTTATTTTGGGTATAGTTTTTGCCTTTGGCAATACAGTTTTAAACAGTCAATAAAACAAGATGTTGGATGTTCATATATTAATTATTCACGAATAGATATATTTTACATGCCATATTTGAATTGAATGACTCTAAGTGCACCATGATTTGATATATCCTTTAACACAAAAACTTCCAATAAAAATACTTCATATCTTAATCCATAATTCTTGTTATAATAACACTTTTTCAGATCTATTTATTTTTTTCTTAAATCCCAAAACTACCCTTTTCAAACAATCATTCATGTTATATCATTAGGTACCTTAAACCAATCAAAATACATAACTCCCAAAAAGGGGAGGGACTGAACTTTGGTCACTAAGATACCTTTATTCAATAACACTGTGATTGAAAAGAAGTAAGTTTGTAAGAAAAAAACCTATATCATTTCTAAAATAGGAAATTATTATATTAGCTTACAAGTGCCATTTCTAGACATACAATAGAGGTGTCAAGTCCCAACTGGAGATTTGAAAATTCTCAGCTGGAGTTTAGGCCTCATAACTAAATAATTTCTTTGTTTTTTGACAGATAATCAAACTTCTCATTCAATATTTTAAAGGTGATAAAAACAATTTCACAAGTGAACCTTAAAACCCTAATCCAGAATTATTTTGAAATAATTATGACATTTAATTTAAAACTTAATACTCAATTTTGACATATTCATCTCAATTAGCACAGAAATTAAGCATAATACACTTAAGAAAATATTGATTTATTAAAAACTATTTTTGCCAATGAATTATACATAATTTTATCATTCGCGCTATTCATAATATGAGGGATTTAAAGTTTAACTGCATCACAACTTCAATTATTTTAACATCTCTTTCTTTCTTTCTTTCTTTCTTTCTTTCTTTGTTGATCTGTTATTATTTTTATTCAAACTGCTGTTCAAGTTAATAATCTATTTACTGTTTACTGACCATACAGAAGTTAACTTAAATAACTATACCTCCTCAATTGTCCAAGTCTTCCTAAATTCAACACTTAATTTTCCTGAATTTTGAGTCAACAAAGTCATTTTTTTTCACATGAAGACAAATTACTTTATAAACTTAAATTAACACACGATTCAATTTAATTTTACATCCACTAAATAAAGGGATAATCTTAGTGTATTCGACACTTTCAGAAAATTTGATGACTTCCTGATTAGAAGTTAATTCTTAAAAGATACTTATAGAATATTTGTGTCATATCTATATATACATGTAACAAGCATATATAGCTTGCAGGATTTATATTTTTTTTACTGTCAAATAAAGGAAATTATTATTTGAAATCCGATTCAGCATCTGATGTACTTAAAAAATTATGTCATGTATCAACAATGATCTGTTATTAGCCAATGAAGATGCATATGGATAATTTTCACACAAATAGATACTAATTATAGAGGTATTTAAATCCAAATAACTATGATGTCTTGAAAGGCTATTCCCAAGATTCTTCACCTTCGGAGAGAAATTTTCAAACCAAACTTCAGAAAATTTGACAGATCCGAAATTCCGGATAATAAAAATACAAAATGAAATAGAACTTTCTTGAAATTCTGGACAGTCAAATTTTATGAAGTTTGGTTTGAACGTCTATTTCATACACTCTGAAAATGAAGGATTTTGGGAAATCTTGGTACTCATTTAAAAAAAGAAATAGGTCATTGATGCCTTGGATGGAATTGTAACTTATTTTATCATTACTTTTGGATATTTCTGGAAATATTTTCCACCAACAAGCACACAAAAGGTAAGAATTTGTATATATGCAAAAATGTCTAGCCCTCAGTGAAGATTTCATGGCAAAATGGGGTCTCGAAGTTGAGAGGAAAATTCCTTCTGAAAGTCTAACTGAAAAAATGGCTTTAGCATATTCAGGTCGAAGGAAGACGTCACAGCAAAAAATTAAAATAGTTATTTGGACTAGAGGTATTTATTAATTAATATGACTAGGCTGAATCCAGAGACTTTCTTAAGTCACAATAAAATAAAACAAAATTCATCATTATTTTTTTCACCAATATATGAAAAAAAATTTGAATAAAGCTTAGCAATAAAAATCTGACAACAACAAGGCTTCTTCCATGAGGCACAGATTTTTTTAATGCAATCTGAATCATTTTCATGGACGTGTTTGATTGATCGATAACATAATCCTCATAGTGAAATCTATTTGTATCATCTGATAATCTCGACAAATGACATTAACTAGTGAAAGTATATCAGAATAATCTTGTCATTCTTTTCTATATATATACCTCAGGGGTTAATTTTGCCAGTTCTTTTGGTGTTGGTGGTAAAGGCTTGTCAAATATCGCATCTTCTGGTCCAGGAGCATTCTCAAAGTCAGTATCACTCCCTGAACTTTCAAATTCAGAACTATTCCAGCCGATATCACTCCCTCGACTATGGACATCTTCGTATGGATTTTCCTGGCTACGTATAGTGGCTGAACTACGCATACTAGAGGTGAAGTTACCTTCATAGGCTGTAAAATACAGGTCAAAATATCCAATCATTGTTTAATTGAAAAAAACAAAAGATCAGGAAAATAAAAATGAAACCAAAGATTTATTCTAAAGATTGTAATAACATCTATCTTCTTTGGTCTTTGTTTCCTATAATAATAAAAAAATCTTTTGTAAAAACTAAAATTCCAAAATCTCAACAAAAATATTCTGAAAGTTCAAATATTTAGATCATATTTCTAGTATCTTTCAACTCAACTAAAATTTCAGCATGCCATCAGCAATAAATATCAAGATCACCTTTTTGCTGCTCTGATTATTTCATAGACCTAATAGATCATCAATTTAATCTATATTAAGAAATGTTGATACACTTTCACTAACAAATCATTGGGTAAGTTTGTTATTGGACTGAATATTAACCCTATACCAATCATAAGCTACAATTTCCTTGTTATGTCATCAATAAAATTTAGTTTGATGTCCCTTCGTGACTTTTTATATCATGTGACTATTGTATGCACTTAAAACCTGTGCGGTCATCTTTCTGGCCAATGACTCTTGGTATAGCCTCAAGAAGAGACAAGTTTTTTCACACATAATTAAATGAGCACTTGTATCTGTAGTTCTTGTTATTATTATTATACTGTGTTATAATTGATATATATAAAATGTAGTATTTAATGTTGTAGCAAGTAGCACACCTACAATGGATCTTTGTTTTTTGTCTAGGCCATAGAATATAATTACTTTTTAAGTGGAAGAACACAGCAAGAGAGAATATAAACGCAAAAAAAACAAATATTAGTGGCAGTTTACAACAATTTTTTAAGTTCAGTTAAAGTCTGTGTCTTGTCGGCCATATTGTCGCATTGCATTTGCTCCAATTTTTACAAAATGCAATCCTTTATTTGCGCCAAAAAATATATACTACATTTGCTCTATTTTACAGGTATTTTATCATATAACCGAAAAATTAAATATTCTTTGTATAATGTATCCTCAATAAGAAATTTTTTAGAGTATTCCCCCTGATATGCGATATTGGTTAATGGTTGTCATTTTGGGGGGATATCGTTTTTACCGTCTGCTCAGATTGAAGACTGCTTTGTTGATGACATTATGAATGAATCTCCATCAGATAAAAGAATGCTGAAGTTTGTTGATTATGTTTTGGAAACATATATAACCCCTGAATCAAGATATCCACCATCATTTTGGGTTGCTGCATTGTGTTTAGATGTAATTATTAAAAGTGACTTTAAATTAATAAATCTGTAATATACAGCTATCCACCTGTATTACTGGCGCAAATGAAATGTTTTATTTTGAAGCAAATGGAAGATATTTTTGGCGCAAAAGCAAAGCACCGAGCCATATCTACCTGTCACATTCCTAGAAATTCTTGCTTGTTGATTAAAGATAAGCCATTTTTTAAACTAACCCTCCATGCTTGTATCATATACCTGGTATTTGTTAAAACTACAAAAAGCAACTTTGAAATTTTAATATGACACAGATGAACTGTAAATGGTAAAGTTCAAGGTGAGGCCAATTAAAATTAATTGATAGATTTTCATCCCCGCCCGCCCCTCTGAAATCGTCCCGCCCCGATTTTTTTTATTGTAACAAATTTACGATTTCCGGATTTTGTTCATTTCCGTTACCGGAAACCACCGATAATTTCGTTTCATTCATAACTTCCTGTAGCAAATTTCGGTTTTCGTATTTCTTCAAGTAATTTAACCAAAATGATTAAGTCGAAATATTCTGTTGCTCTATGATGACAGCATTATCTTCCGAGAAAAGAGATTGCTTACGAGAAGGGCATGAAATATTCGGGTTACGAGTGACAGGCGGTGTCCAAGAACGCAAATCGCGGTCAGTGATTAGAAACCTGTGGATTTTTTATTCATACAATGACTTTGTGTCAGGAAATTTGGACTGTGAATGATATCCAAAGCACAAGAATCGTGGAACACATTGCTGCAATAAAAAACATGACTGGGATAGAGAAATTGACACAAGCACGAACTTGTGCGATCTAAGACCATATATTGAGTACAAAAAAGTCGGCCAATGTAATGCTATGTCTTTAAACTTTTCCAGATACACAGGGTTATCTGTACTCAGAGTAAATTTTGAGGTGAAAATGCAGCCCTTGTAGCCAAAGGGTCCACATGAACCTTAAAAGCATAAACCATAGCATTTGCAACATAGTTTGAGTTTTTATTTCACTCTGTACTCATAATACTTGTAATGGGCACTACAAAGTACTACTTAGAAAGCAAAATGAATTTGATGTAGGTAGTCTAAAAGAGAACATTTCTCCACCTTTTTGCTATTTACTAAAAAATTGTTTCTAAAGTGGCAATCACATGTAGAACAGTGGTTGCCAATCCAAAATCTTTATTAAGACTGAAAATTTATGTAGAATTCCTTATATATACATGATATAAGCTAATATTACCCTTGCATATGCACAGTCTGATTGAAACCGGCCCCCAATATCTACAAAGGCAAATGGAAAGTGGGGGCTGGTTTTAATCAGACTGGCATATGAAGAACACGTCACAAAAGGGTTTCGGAGGAAATAAAAATTAAAAAATAAAATCCTCCCACCCGCCCCAATTTTTTCAAAAATTTGGATGAAAATCTACTAATTAATTTTAGTTGGCCTGATAAAGAATTTGATAAAAAAAAAGTTTCTATGAAAATGCTATTTTTTGACAATCCAAGAACATTGGTACCCACAGAGAACTAAATCAATCCAAGTTTTATAACATTTTGGAGATTATAGATTTTAAAGGAATGATGTTAAAGTGGAAAACTCTTTTTGCCCTCGGTTCGTTTAGTCTGGAATCAAACACTTTTAAAATAATCTGTCCACATTCAAATTAATCAAGAGACTCTTGAAGTCATAGATACTAATGATTATATGAATACATTTTTATTTATATTCTAATCTTTTAAAATGAATATTTATCAAATATTACCTGATGTTTAAAAATTCCTCCAAATTATTCCAAACATCTTAAATAGCTTTTGTCATGCTTTCAATTTTTTTTTATTTCGACTATATGACTATGTTATGACAAGAAAACAGAGTGGGAAGTTACTAAAAGTGTTATACAATTTGGCAACACAGTCATCTATATATGTCATAATCTGTACTGAAAGATCACATCAGCCTGATTTATCTATTACTCTGGTGGTTGATCAAATCCATCTTAATTAGCGAATAATATATATGTATTTATTTACATATTTTTTCAGGCTGTTAATAAGAAATAACCAAGAAGGAAAATACTATTTATTTTATAGTTTTGTTTACCATTCTTACAATTTACTTTTTTCTCAAGGAATAAACATTTGCATAAAAATTAGCATATCCAAATTATGTCATCATATTACATAAATACTGTATGAAAAGTTCTTCAGAGGTATTCAATACATCAGAAATTTGTTTCTTTCCCTACCTTTTGTCCTAAATAATTCATAATTTAAAAAAAATCAACAAACAAAGATATTCCCAATGAAAACACAAGAAAATGGGGGTTCAAATCAAGGCAAGTCTCAAATGTCCATGACCTTTTTTTATTCCAAAGACCTTTAAATTCTAAATTCATAAGTTCTGGACCCCAACTCCTGAGATTTTAAAATATGACCTAAATGTATCCTTTTCAAAAGTTGACCTTTGATTTCTAAATACAAAAGACCTTTTCATACTAGAGAATGACTTAATAGTCCAACCCATTGCTCCCAAATTAAAGCTACAATAGGAATTCCTAAGACCAATATTGTTTTAGTGCAACAGAAGGAAATTTAACCCAAAGAACTAAACTGACTTGCAATTAAAGAAAAATTAAAATAAAACATGGTGCAGCCCATGCATAAAGGGAGATTTTACTTTTACAATTCAGGAAAAAAAAGTAGTATCTAATCTATATACAATAACATGTACATACCATTAGAATAGACTCCAGATGATATCAGTATTGGTAATGCTGGAACTAACTGTGTATCCTGAACGTCTGCAACAGAAATTAACTCAAATCCTAAGTATACACTCATTGTTACTCATGTATCTTAGCAACTATAGTTCAATTTTCAATCAAAAAGACAAAGATTCTTTAAATGAACATTCTCTTTGCAGCAGCGTAAGGACTGTGCATTATTTGCAATTGGTAAATCCATTCTTTTCATCTATAATTTCCAAAATGACAGTTACGTTAGAAATATTCTTCATCTGACATGTACATGATGTAATAACCGTGGTAACATTTTGAATTCGGATGTTGATCAAACAATAATTTCAATAGAAAATATCATGTCAGGAACTCAGTTTTAGACCAAATGCATGTTGTTTTAAACTATAATATTTCCTTATTTTGAATTCTTTTTTTTCCTCATGAATAATGACTTTCATACAATATAATAGCTCTTTCTATGCCCAGTTAATCACAACAGTTTCATGTTTTATAAAAACTTCAGGAATGTCTTCTCCTAAACATATTCCATTATTTTGGGCTTATTGGGATGCCAAAATGAAACACATACATGTATCACAATATGAAATCTTGGATATATATAAGTCTAACTAAATCTTAAGTTATCAGTAAGTGTTAAACATCTCAACTCAATTATAACTGTTACACAATTAGCAGGAAGAATTAGTTGACAAAAATGACAAATATAAACCATTGTAAACAGACGGACAATAGGAGGAAGTGTGGATGGGAAAGATAGCCATCTAAGTACAGAAATGTTGTGATTACATAACGATGCCAATATCTGATTCAATGCTTGCATGTGTATTGGTCTACAGCTTAGAAATGTATGGGTAAACTTGCACATTATTTTTAATCAGTTACAATGTTTACACATTGGTGTCAATGGTGACACCTTCTTCTAAAGTATAAGATTTATCAGTTATTCTATCTTCAAAGGTCAAATTTAATCTATTTACATACAGTGTAATTCAATTTGAAATCCCTGTCATTACAAACATTGTTTAATTTTGAATGATCCTTTTGTTCAGAATTATCATTAGATGACTTTAAGAAGTACTTTAAAAGTCTAGTTACTAAAATTGAGAATGAAAACGGGGAATGTGTCAAAGGGACAACAACCCGACCAAAGAGCAGAAAACAGCTCAAGGCCACAATTGGGTCTTCCAACACAGCGAAAAAAAATCTTGCACCCGGAGGCGGGCTTTTACTGTAGCTTTGGCAATGAATTGAATGAAATGCATGCCTTAACTTACCGTACTGGATCAATCTGGTTGTAACTTGACAATCGAACGCTTAAGTAATCTCAATTTTGTTTACAATTTAGTTGTAACTTGACAATTGAACCCTTAAGAAATCTCAGTTTTGTTTTTTGTAAATTTTTAAAACCCATTTTTAATAGCAAGTAAATTATGGTTTAACTGTAACTGTATCTGCTCCTTATACTTTCTTTTGACTTAAATTTATTTTTGATTAGATGGTTTTGAATCCTGTCCCATATTACAGTATCAAATGACTACACATAATCTGCAGATATAACATGATAAAGTTTTACAAATTTTGATGTTTGATAATTTTGGATTGAAAATAGACAGATCAGGGAAGAAATAATCCTTTTTTATTCTTTTTGTTTTCTTGTTTTTCAATACAATGATCGATCAGTATGATTGATTATCATTAGACATCTGTAGATATGCACAAATTTGAAGATTTACAATAATAGGTAAATTAAGCTATCCCTATATTTTGACAAATATATAATAAACTGTTAACACAGAGATATGTCTCACTTTTTTGTTACTTTGATATATAGTAAAATGCAAATTTTTAAATTAAAATAGCAATACTTTAACATGTAAGTTATGCAAAATATTCAGTCAATGAACCATGACTGAAGGTACAGGGCCAAACAATATGTGCCAATGCTAATACAACTGCATACCAAATATCATTGACCTAGTACCAATAGTGTTACTCCATTAACTGAGATAATCACACATGTAAACCAAGAAAAAGTTTCAAAGTCAAAAGACCATGACTAAGGGGGCAAGGTCAAATAATCTCCATGGAAATGAGATGTGCCAATGCTAATACAACTGCATACCAAATATCATTGACCTACCACTAATGGTTTCCAATAACTGACCTAATCACAAACTAATACAATTAAAGTTTCAAAGTCAATAGATGATTGAGCGGGCGGACCAAATTATCTCCATGGAAATGAGATGTAATAATGCTAATACAACTGCATACCAAATATCATTGACCTACCACTAGTGGTTCCCCATAAACTGACCTATCACAAAATAATACATTGTTGACAAGGAAGCCACAGACGCCGGAAACAGCATACCTATGTCTCTGTTTTTGACTCCGTCAAGGTGAGACAAAAATTAAATCAAAATGTTTTGACCTTTTAACCCTTAGCATATGGGTTCCTTCATTAGATTGGTTATGTGCCATTTCCTGGTTTTGCCCTCACACGTTGTTCTATAGTTTCAAAAGGAGAAGGACCCCTCTTTGTGAAGGACACAAAATATTATCAAAAACAACATTTCTTCATGGAGCATCTACCTTTTGGGCCATATTTCGCCCATCATCCCTGTCTCCTCATCCCAAATATGTGAACACCTACTTTGACTCTATATCTGACAACAAGCCAAAGCAGCAGGTTATTTTGCTCATTGGCATATAATTTGCATATTCTTGCCAAACAAGACAGCATGCATATGGTAAGCCAAGGGCTGATTTACTCAGAAATATATAATGTATAAAATTTCCCTTTTTTTTGCTTTTGTTTGTTCAATGAAATATATATATAGAGTACAATAATTGGTGGCCTTCGGCTGTTTTCTGCTCTTTGGTCGGGTTGTTGTCTCTTTGATATATTCCCCTTTTCCATTCTCAATTTTACAATAATGAATTGATAAAACATGTTATACACATGTAGCATGAGCATGCCACTGTATATATATATATATATATATCATGTGCATGATGGTATAGTATAATTCAACATCAAGTACATTATACAACATCTCCCTACATGCCCTAATATCTATGCACAATAAAATGCTTCGCTGAGCAAAAAGTTACAAATTTCCATTTCTTATAGCCTCTGTGTGCATTTTTATATGTAAATATGGGCTATGGCCTAAATCGACTCTAAATAATTCTCAGTCTTACATGGCCTAAGACCATTTTATACTCATGTGGTATGCCTTTTGTAACTTTTCTTTACATTTAAAGTACATTTAATATATATGGAAGAATATTGTATGGTTAAAAAACTTCAAAAACTTCAACTTGGTTGAACAAAATGCATGTTTATGTAAGGCTTCCCTTAATTCGAAAATCTCTATTTTCAGGCACAGGCTCATATAAATTAGACATTTGAATAGCTGTAATAGATCTGATAAATCAAATGAGTGTTCCGTTGCTTTTAATACTTATTACATTATATTCAAGAGTATTTAAAAAGCAAATTTTTGCAATATTTAAATTTTTTAGGCCAAAATCTTGATAGTTGAAAATATTTGATTTAAACGTCAAAAATAAACATCCAAATTTCAATATTAAAATGGCCCTAGTTTCTATAATATATGAAACTTGGCCAACTATCTTATAATTTCCTAAACTTAGGTCATGCAAAGTTTTATTAAAATTGGTCAAGTCTTTCTATCCTATTAGGTCCAAGGACACAGTTATCGTCCTTTGGTTTTCGTTGTCTACGAATATAGTCCCTAGTGTGAACAGTGTATAACTTGCATTTTTTTTTGATACACTTTCCCAATTTATTTCTTTATATTTTATGCATGAAATATTAAGTAAGGGGATGAAATTTCATGTTAAAAAAATTTGGGTGCTGAATCTTTATGTTAAGTAGTGATTTGGTCCAGTTAAAAAAGGTCAAAAATTAGAATATCTGAAGCTGTCAAACTGAATTTTAGCCCCCCTTAACACAGAATTGTCAATATTTTGAGTTAGAGCTGGTAGAAGTTTCTATAATTTGTATCAATAGTACTAACTACACTGTAAAAATCTTTTTGAGATAGAGCAGGTGCGATTTTTTTAATTTTAATTTATTGTCTAAAAGAAATGCACTACGAAATAACTGTGTTCTCTGGCCATAAAGGGCAATAACTCCTAAAGGGGTCGACTGACAATTTTGGTCATGGGACTTATTTGTAGATCTTACTTTGCTGAACATTATTGCTGTTTACAGTTTATCTCTATCTATAATAATATTCAAGATAATAACCAAAAACTGCAAAATTTCCTTAAAATTACCAATTCAGGGCCGATAGATCTTGACCTGATAATCAGTTTTACCCTATGTCAGATTTACTCTAAATGCTTTGGTTTCAGAGATATAAGCCAAAATCTACATTTTACCCCTATGTTCTATTTTTAGCCATGCCGGCCATCTTGGTTGGTTGGCAGGGTCATCAGACACATTTTTTAAACCAGATACCCTAATGATGATTGTGGCCAAGTTTGGTTAAATTTGGCCGGGCAGTGGTTTCAGAGAAGAAGATTTTTGTAAAAAGCTAACGACAACGACGACTACTGCGACAACGGACGCCAAGTGATGAGAAAAGCTCAGTTGGCCTTTTGGGCCAGGTGAGCTAAAAATGCTTGTTTTTGGCCCTTTTTTGGCCCATAATTCCTACATGTTTGGGGCAATTAACCCCAAACTCAATCCCAGCCTTCCCTTTGTTATATGGAACATTGTGGTACAATATTAATGTCAGAGATATCCATACACTTACACACAAGTTATTGTCTGGAAACTAAAAAAATACTTGTTTTTGGCCCCTTTTTGGCCCTTAATTCCTAAACTGTTGGCCCCATAACCCCTAAAATGAATCCCAACCTTCTACTTGTGGTATTAAACATTGTGGTACAATTTCAGAGCAATCGAAATACTTATACACAAGTTATTATCCTGAAACTAGAAAAATGCTTGCTTTTGGGGCCCCTAATTCCTGAACGGTTGGGACCATCATCCCCAAAATCAA